GCTGGTCTGTTTTCCCACGCCCAGGTGGCTGGCTTACATAAAACACCAAGAACCAGAAAGAGCCATCGAGCCAAGCCAAAAAAGCTGCCCGACATGGATGGAGTGACGGAGCGACAGGATGGCCAGGCCGCAAATCGAGGTGCTCGCATGAGACATTGCAGGCCATTGTCTTTTTGCATGTTGCATCGCAACAGGGCGAGACGGTATATGTCTCCTACATTATCCTGATGCACTTTTTCGCTCGCTCCCTTTGTACGACACGGCCGGCGGGAGAGGCAAGTCGAATTCTCTCGCGTGGCTGCCAGCACGAGGATCGTCGTTGCAGAAGAAAGCACGAGTCGCTACCGAGAGATCCTGCCGCCCGTTCCTGGTGCTGGGATGCGTCTTGTTGCACAGTCCGCGCTCAGTCAGGCCCACGGCGTTGGGCCGGAGGCAGCGCAAGTGCAGCCGTGACACTCAAGCATAAAAATCTACACACCGCTATGCGGCCTGCGCCCGCGCCTGTCTCGAACCCGCCTGCGGAACACGGCTTTGGCAGATTGACATGTTGGGGAGCCCCGTGCGAAGCCCCAAGTGCGCATCGGTCGCGTCGAAACCGGCGGGCGAGGGTCTCGCTGATGGGCGCATGGGCTGCTACCTGGACAGGGAGTTGGGTGTGGTGGCAGGCGTGATCCAAGGTTGGCTGAGGCGGCAGGGGCGGGCGGCAGTCTGAAGACAAGCCCCAGTCCATCCATGCCCGACCCGAGGGACGGACATTGAGCGGCAGACCCCTCCGGTACGGAGTACCCGACCTTGCCTTTCGGCGTCAGCGACACGAACATAATATTGGAGCCGATCCGGAAGTCTCGCAACAGGAATCAGGGAGCCATGTCTCTGCTCCATTTCCAACACTGCTGTCTTGTACCCATCGGCCCTAACACTTCACTATAGGTGTCGGGGAGTCAGGAGACGCGGGAGGGAGGACACTTTCGGTCCGGGAGCCTTCCCTTTTGCGAGTCTGCCCGCACTGGGACCTGTACAATTCCAACGGTAGCGCCGCCCTAGGGCTGGCCAGCGGCTCCCGTCCATTGGGTGGGTGGCTACCTACGGGGCTCCCACGCACGACCCAGGCGGGCACATGGCCGGTGCGTGGTGTGGCACCGCAGGACCGCAGGCGCCGCAGGGTCCAGCGCCGCCCAGCGCAAGGTCTTGGGCTGCCAGGGACGAACCAGCATGCCAACCCGCCGCAAGACGCAAGGAAGCGGACCGCTAGGCGTATCTCTGCCGCGTGGGCGCGGGACATTGAAGGCGCCTTCAGGCTAAACTCCGGAGATGCCCCCCTGGACCCTGTTCCCGACGGACGGCATTCCCAAAACAATGGAGCTATTGGCGGAAGCACTCCAAGCTCCATGACACAAGCACTGTCGGTGGCTGCACCACCTGCGGCAGTGGGTGCCACTGGGTAGGTGATCACCCAGGCACTCTCCAGCCACCGTGAAGGCACGCACCGGGCGACAAGGGCAGGCACCATGTAAAAGACCCATCTTGCTTCGATTTTATCTATTGATCGACGCGCAACTTACAGGCACGCTTGGGTCCAGAATGCCCCTGGAGCTTCGCAAATATCACGCATCTCCAAACGGCAGAAGCACTCTCCTGGAGTCTAAACGGCCGAAATGGAAGCCCGAAGCAGCCGTCCGAGTGCATATGCATACACCAGCGACAAGACGCAAACGCCATGTCCACAGGTGGTATTCGTGCACTCACCCGTCTCATTCTAGGAATGAGTTGCGGGCACAGATGGCATAGACAATTATTTCCCTCTCTTCCCGCATTGGCAACAGATTCATATGCCAAATCCTACGCATCATCAACGAACTCCTCTGATGCTGCACCACTGCCATTTTCTCGCTTTTCATTCTATTCTTCTAGAAGTTCTGGCTGGAACAACATAGCTGTAGCCGAGAAGAAGGGGGCTACGGTGCGCACCAGCAGGCTTTCGACTTGACAAGGCATCAACATCGGCAAGCCGCCGTCTCGCAGGCCAGCAGGTGAACACTGCTATATCCGGGCAGCTGAACACTGTGAAGAACATTGTCCGCCATTGACTAAGATATGGCGTAGATGGCGTTATCGAAATGGGTCATCCCGTCTCGCTCACATGCGCAATTCGTACAACTGTCACGTTCACTACCGGGAGGCCTTTATGGTACAGACGTCTTCGGCCTTGCAGTGGCAAGGGCAGCTCAAGAACGCGCAACGACCTTCAAAGGCCCTTCTCTGGGGTATTGTTCCAACAATCCGTTGATCAAGAGCAAACGTCGTGAGCGCTCCAGCGCCAACACTTGACATACACGGAAGAATCTGCTCATGCCATTCAATAATGCCCCTAGAGCCCACCCGGCTGGAAGGAATCCAGTCACGTCTACTTTCAGCGTTTCATTACACTCTCTCCATCTGTCCCATTAATCCCATGTGCGGCTGGAATCTCGGTGCTAACATACCACTGCTTCCAGCCGTGTCTTTCCGAGACGGACATCGTCTCACCAGGTCCCCCCGGGCACACCAGAGGCATACCCTCGGGATATCGTTCAGGGATCCAATCGCTGATCAAGTTTTCCAACTGCATGGGCAAGGATTCTAGAGCAGCGAGGGCACCACAGAGCTGGGACTGGTAGGGTTTTGCCGGCCAACATCGTGGCGAATGTCGCGCTGGGGGAGACCAACACTTTATGCAACCACAACGCTCCTCTATAGATCAGTACGACAGAGGCGTTACGGGAGGGGCAGACTATTGAGCGCACTAGGTCTGATCTAGCGGTTTCTTCAATGCGGAATCCATTAGCTCTGCTCAACAGAACACTCTGCTCTCTGTTCAGCTTCGGTACAGCACCCGTGTCGCAGAGCTTCCGGAGATAGCAGTTGGGCTGAAGTGCACAATACAGCGCCGTGAGACCGCAGGGAAATGAAAAGGTAGCGAATGTTCTAATCACTAATGATATTCGTTCATCCGCATCGGTCCGTGTTACCTGTTGGGCATCCACGACGCTCAGCGCTGCGGTGCTGTACACCAAAAGCCACGCCAAACTGAACCAACATAATGCCGCGCACGAGGCAGCCGACATGACTTGAAGGATACCCAAGCTCTCTACTAGATTCGATATGACGACAGAAAGGTGGTCGGCACTTTTACGCAGCGGTTCTCTGAGAGGCAGGCAATTGCGCAGTAGGTCCACGATCAATGACATTAGAACATGAAAATCCTCCACACACATCTTTCCCATTCGACCCAATCTGTTCTTTGGCTGTTGACAAACATTTGCTTCCACAATAGCTCTCTCCTTGACCTCTAAACCCCACACACCTATACCACCCAAACTCCTTGCTACCAAATTCAGGACAAAGCCGCCCAAGAACCAAACAAGTCAATGTCCAAAATCAGAGCGCTGCTCTGCCAAAACGTCCAGGGGACTCCGCTGGTCCTGATCAAGTCCTTGTATACCATGGCATCTCGCATGCGGTTTCAGAACACCAGTAGCTGTGCCGCGGCGGGGAACTCTCCAAGGCCGGTGGGAAAGCATCCATGGCGGTGGCAAGAATGATCTGGAGTGAGTCCGAATCGCCCAGGTCTTTCCTCAACTATTCACGACGGGGTCCAGATGGCAGAATCGGGCATTTGGGAATGCACTTCGCAGGGTTTCAACCACAAAAGTCAGCCACGGTCGGATCCAAAGGCGAACACAGTTGGCGGATTGCCATTTTGGAGGCGCGTTGAGCGCAGCACAGGTCTGAGAATTGACCTAGATAGAGATCAATTGCATTGTGCGGCGGATGCGTTGCCACCTCGGCCGGTATGTCAGAACCGACAGCCAATGGAGACCATCAAAGTTGACGGGCCTTTTCAGGGCACCTAAGAAGACGTGGAAATACCACCCTTCACGGAAATTGCATAATTCGGATCCTCTCTCTCCAGGTGCGTCCAGAAGAAAACGGTCCTCGGCGCTGCGGGGAATGGAGCCAAAAGCGTGCGAAGACCCGCGTAACAGAACAAGTTGCCCGTTCATGAAGACGAAGACACAGACCGGCCAGGCTGCCGCTAGATGTTAATAGCGTCAGTTCCTAACACCATATATTCAGGTCCGCGGTTGAATCCTGGCATTGGGCGAACAATGACAGGCAGGAAGTGCATTTCAGCGGGGCAAGAGCCCTTCTTGCGAAACAAAAACTGGCTAGTATGTACAGACTCAAGCACTTACCTTGCTGCCTAGACACTGGCCTCGTCGTTCACTCTGAAACAACAGGGTCAATACCCAGGGACTGCTGTGGCCATCGGAAGAGAAGAGACACAATGCAAGTCACGTCCGGGGTGAGGGGATCCGCTAGAGACCAGTCCAGGCAGCAAGTTCGAGTGTCAAGAAAAGGCATCCAATGTAAAGCGCGCCACGTTGCCCTCCTTTTTCCGCCTGCGCCGCCGACAGCGTAGTATGAAAGGGCATATGCAACATCATTCATCCGGGGCCGTGAAATAGTCGACAACGATCCACTGAGAGGCTTGTTCAGAAAATGCAAAACGATGCCGTGACTCCAAAGGGCATTTGATCTCAAGAGTTGTGCGTAACGGGGGCCCAAAGGGGCGACCCAAGCAGCTTATCCGGAGACCTTCGCGATGCTGGTGAAGACGAGCGACAAACCAACAAGCGAAATTATCCAGGCAAACTTCCATGTAGGCAAAATTGCAGCTTCCAGGCGAGACTCATAAGCGTGGATCCAAAGGCGTTAGATAATCCGTGGGACGAGTGAAAAACAAAGAGAGACAGGGCCAGATGTCCAGGTTTAAGGGTAGGCCAGTCACCGCTCCGGTCATCTTATGGAGGGAGAAACAAGAAACAGCCACGGCGTGGCTCAGCTCCGTGAAAGTCCGAGATCCTTGAGCCATGGCAATTAAGAGAAGAGATGGGGATTGGGTCGACTATCGTCGAGGGGGTCGGTGGTGCCTGTCGCTGTCCCTGTCACTACGACGATTACTTGAGCCTGCAGGGGGGGTCGGGGCTGTCGCCGGCGTTGCGGAAGAACGGGAAGGGGGGGCTTCTTCATACTGTTGTCCCTGGTTCGAGTAGCCTTGGGTTTGTTGTTGCGGAGCTTGGCCTGCTGGAGAAGCTAAAGAATTAGATTTTCAGCTCCAGGGGAGAGACGGTTTGTTCCGGTGGACGCACCTCGCCCATAGAAGGGATCATGGGGCTGCATGGCCGGGTAAGGCTGCCCGGCGCCAGCGGGAGCCTGGCCTGGGAATGGCTGGTAAGGCGATGAGGACGCTGGGTAAGTAGGCTGCTGCGGTGGAGCAGTGGCATAGACGGGCTGCTGGGGGGCTGCAGCCGATGCGCCTAACCGGGAGTTGTAAGGATCATTTGACTGGGCAAATCCAGAATGCGGCAGATTGGCTCCTGTTCCAATGTAGGGAGGGTCCTGGCTGGGCTGGTATCCGGGACGCATCATGGAACCACCCTGGGCACTAGAAAACCTTGGGTCCGGACCAGGAGACTGCTGGGTCGGCTGGTAGCCGCCAGCGTACGCGCCACCACTTGTGGCAGCGTACTGCTGCTGCTGCTGTTGTTGCGGCGGAGGGTAGGCGCCAGAGGCTCCAGTGTAGCCTGGTGCTCCCGTTCCGGGGTACCTGTTCTCATATCCAGGGTCACGGTAAGGGTCTGCTTGGAATGGCGCCTCGGTAGGGCCATGGTGCTGCCGCGACTGGTGCGTCTCGGAGTAGCGATATTGTACTACAGGTGAGTTAGATGAGGGTCTCGCGGGAAAGCCACTGGCATCTCTCGAGGTATGGATACCTCCAGAGGTGTTGCGCGACGTCTGCGCTCGCCTCTCGTTGTCCCATCGGGCCGAGTCGGCCTTAAGATCCTCGATCATGGCCTGTAGTGAGGTGAGGCTCAGCAGATGTTCCGCCAGGGGCAGGTTTGCAGCGAGTAAAAGAAGGTGTCGAAGGGGATATGGCTCACTGTAGTCAAGTTCCTGTAGGCTGTGATGTAGTATCCCTGGACGACTTGGCCGGTCTGTGGGTTCTAATGTCGAGAGAGCAAAGTGTAAGCCCGATGACTCGTTTGAACGAAGTGACCCTGCGTCGACAGCGGTGCAGACGCAGGTCAAAGGCGCCGTCGTACCTCGTAATGCCCAGGCCGTACAAGGGCATCGTTGCCCAGGTATCGGCAAATGTCGGCCGAGATGACCTCACGGTCAATGCCATCGCGGGGAACGAAGTACTCGTTTTGTCGAGTTGTGGCCGTCGGCCCGGACTGGCCCTGATTGCGGGGTTGCCTCGACATGGCGGCGACGGAGGGGCGGAGGGTTTCGCAGCGGAGAAGGAGGGAGAAAAGAGGCCAGAAACGACGACGGGGCAGCGGCGCGATGTGTACAAGAGGGTGAGAAGAGGAGGAGAGGAGGCGAGGAGGCAGCAGCGACGGGCGACAGGGGAGGGATAAAGGGCCGGTGCGTGTGTGGCGGCGACTTGTGTCAGCAGGTGGACAGCGACCGACAACAAGGACAGACAGGTTTCTGTCGAAAGAGGAGTCGGTGGCGGGTGAGGTGGTGGTGGTGGGAGACGGGAGGGTGGGAGGCGGCAGCTCCTTGGGAGGCGGACGGGAGGCGAACGCGGCGGGCGGGCACCAAGCGAAAAGGCGGTTTGGCGGTGCGCAGGCGGGTGGAGACCTTGGGTACAGCAGCGCCCCTGCCCTGAGCAATCCAATAGGCCTCCGCAGCTCGGCTGCCCTGTCCCTGGGGTGGGGCGGGGCCTGAACCTGAGCGACCTGATGATCTGCTGCTGGCAGCCCAGTGGCCCACTGGGAACCCGACTACACCTCACCCACCAGACCACAGGGCACCAAGCGCTTGTGCTTGTCGCGAGCAGTTGCAGCGCCTGACACGGTCCCGGATTTGGTTGGCCCGGACGTGGCCGAGCCGCACGACGATGCAATGGCCCAGGCGACGCTGCAGGCCCTGGTGAAAAGTTGAGGCCTGTTTGCAGACCCCCAGCCCCTTCGAGCTCTGACGATGATGGTGGCGGACCGAGCCACTGGGACAGGCGAACAAGGCCCGTCCTGCCTTTCCACTGTCCGGAGGATTTTTTTTGTTTTTTCAGCGCCCAGCCAGGGAACCTCAGGTCTGCCCTACGCCAAACCTTGGTATCCAATGCCGCCTTCGCCGCCTCAGATGGCCGCCTGGCTAGCCAACAGTTCGCACCCAGCGGTTGGGCTCCCTGAGCCCTGCCTTGGGCAAAGACCGGTCACAAATTTGTTGGACTCGAAGCACCTTCCAGGCGTGTGCGAAGTACTGCACCGTATGATTTCTCATGAGCAAAATCGATACCCTGGCGACGACTGGTTTTGGGCGGTCCAGTCGGCGGGTCTCGAGGTTGTGACGCGGCTGGTGAGTCTGCGCAGCATCACATCACGGATCTTGCCAGGCGGGACATGGAACAATTCGGACAGGAAGCGACGGCTGCTCACCCTTGGCGGTCACTCTTGACTCCCAGCGTGAAAATGGTAGGGGCGGACTCCAAGCTTTTCTAGTTCTGGCCCTCGGTGGACACGCACACAGGGCGGAACACCTGGGCACCCAGGCCAGGCAAACGTCTGGGTCGACTGCCGTTGCGATCTCGTGACTGGTTGACATCCTCGGTCCATTAACAGTCTCTCTGGACTCTTGACTTGGTTGGCGAGTGCCTTTCGTCTTGGGCGCCGACCCCGTTGGGCTGCGCTGCACCATCAACCAGAAGAGGGAACGCTCCGGGATGGTTCAGCCAGCTGGATGCACCATCCGATCGAAACACATCGAGCCCCGGTCTGACCGCGCCCGGAATATCTTGAAGGCCTCTTTCGACGAGGAGAACCCTGCCTTAGCGGACGATGTGACACTTGCAGCAAAACGATGATCGATTCCTGCGGTAGACGAGACAGGGGCATGTAAATGTTAGCAGCTGTTTGCGCAACGCGCAACGGGCCCGTCAGCCGCCATCACGATAAGCGCTTCAGGCCCTGCTCACTACTGAGGAAGACGTACCCGCCACATGCGTGCGGGCGTTCTCCTCCGTCTGCGCATCATGGTGTTCGTACGGCAATTCACCAGGGATGACCGGCCATGCAGCCAAAGACCGACGCCTTGCCCGGCGTGGCCCTCTGCCCTAGGCGCGCTGCGCCACCTAAACAGCACCACACTGAACATGCTCACCGTGCAAGCTGGCGTGTGGATTGTTTTAGTTATAGTCTGTCCGTCGTATTGTTCTCGACGCCTAAACGAAGCTCAGACTGAGATCGCGGTTTGCTTCTACTTCGTGGGCGTCCGTCAACATGAGGGGTGTTGGTTCAGTGCCGGTTGCTGGACCCTAAAGTCAGCGGTTCGAGGCGTACTGTACAATACCAAGCTGCCTATCTCCTGATCTTGAGACCAGGTGTCACAGCAGCCCAGGCTGTTTCAGCAACTGGAGATGCAAGACGATTCCGTTTGTGTGCCTAACCGGCCGGCCATGCTTGGGCTATTATGTACAGGTGGCGAGTACCGAATCGCACCAGACGGACGGACTGGCTCTGGAGTAGACATAGCCGCACGCCGTCCGCCCGCCTGCTTCCGCGAATGTGAAAACGGGCAAGAGGCAGTACTGGCGTTGGCAAAGCATTGTGGTGCGATCTAGAGATGATATTATCCATCTCAGACGCGCAGTCCTTTCCAACCCCGTCGACGTCAAAGCCTCACTGTCCCGCCTGAGCGTCATGTCCTGTCGACACCACAATTTAGATCCTTTAGGCCAGCAACCCGTTCGACATTCTGCTGGCGCCATCCGAGCACCATCTTCAGCCTCGCAGAGCACCCCGTGTTCGCTTCATTGATGAGCTGTAGAGTCCACTCCGCGCAATCTGATCCACTTGGTCGCCGGACCTCCAACCACCGGCAGATCCAGCTGATAGCGTGTGAGGAGGCATGAGTTCCGGGGACAAAGTTTGCACCAGCGAGCCAGAGCCACGGTTGAGTGTCCGGTGCCCACGCCACTTGAGCTGCAAAACGTGTCGCGACGCAACGAGTGCCAACTGCTGCACCCAAGACACCTTGGCGCCGGCGAGCGGTCGGAGGCCGGCGAGGGCTGACCCACAAGCGTTCGGGGTCTGGCACTTGGGCCTCCGTTGGGTACCGATGGCTCCCACCAATTGCAGCCCAACACGCCAACAACGGGTGACGACGAAATCTGAGGACCACGGCAGCGGCCCAATTACCGCTTGGCCAATCAAAGTGTCTAGCCATCCGGTGCACCAAAAGTCGGACAGGAAGAAGGGCTCGGCTGAGCGGCAATGGCGGTTGCTTTTTGACTGCCTCTTCCTGCATCTGGTGGATGGAATCTGAGCCGGTGTGGACCATACTGTATCTGCATGGGGACGAGGACGTGAATCGACGGCGGCAGCACCGTGTAAGAGCGTTGTTGGCCTGAGCAAGGGCAACATCGCACCTCATGTATCAGCATGGTCACCGGCGCCATCCGGCCGTCCACTCGCGCCTTGCTAGGATTCAGCATTCTGGTGAGCAAAGGCGTTGCTTTCGTCCCAATGCCCTGAGTCGCGGGCACATTTGGTCAAGATCGAGCCTGCTGTGAGACAGTCTCGTCCCAAGTCGGACCGCGCGGGCTGATCCGCCTTGGTCGCCCTTTCTCGAAGTCTGGACCCTGTATAGGCTATCCGCGGGCATGGCGCCGGTCCTGTTCAAGGAGACAGCCCGACTCTGCGTTCTTTTCGCCTGATTCAATCCTCGAACGCAGACTGGGTCGTGCCGAGCAGTTCCGTCTTGGTCGACGGTCGTGGCTCCACTCACTCAGGTGAGGTCACCAAAACCCCCCAAAGCGCGATGCAGTCAGCCTCAGCATTCGGTAGCCTTCATCCAAATTTCAGCTTTTGCTGCCCTTGTTCGAGTTTTCCTTGCCGGCCCCGTCTGGACGAAGTGTTCGTTCCCTTCGGGATGGAGCTCCGCGAGCAGGGTGGGTTCTCAGCGAATGCAGGCCTGACACGTTCCTCCTCCTGGATGTCTTTCGCCATGTGCCAGTCCCCATGACTTTGGAGCAACCCCGGATCATCAAAGCTTGCATTGCATCTGCGGCATACGAAGTCTGTTATGGGCAGCTGTGTCTCTGCATGCGTCTCGACTTGCGGTGATTGCTCTGATTCGTGAGCTTGGTCTTGGTGAAGGTTGCTGGGATGAATTTGCGTCTCACCCCCCGAATTTGGCGAGTCGCGTTCGTGGGGTATGGTCTCGTGAGCGCCGGCCCCCTTGACAAAGAATCGATGAATACCGCCACTTTCGACCCGTGGCCTTTTGCTGGGCCGTTCTTCAGGTTCCGCTCGGTACGTGGGGGAAGCGGAACGCGAAGCATCCGCCTCCGTGCTACCTTTCACGAGAAAAGCGCCGATGGCCATGTTGCCCTTGATTCCTTCCTCGAAGCCCCCGACACTGAGGCTCAAGTTTGCGCAAGGCCAGACTTTTCCATCGGAAATGATTTGGTAAAGGAGGTCCTTGGCCAGCTGGAACAAGACATCCTCACTGAGTGTCTTCCCTTGCGGTATTGGTCCCTGGCGACTGCGGGTTTGGCCAGAAGTGCGGTGGTGCAGATTGATCGTGCGTGGCCGTCGCTTGTTGTCCAAAACGCCCTCTTCAACCAGCCGGGCGTAGATGTCTGCAACAAAGATCCTCAGCCACTTGAGGGCCTGTTCCGCGTTATGGATGCTTGGTCGAAAAGACTTGGCTGAGAGCATAGACTTGATCTGGGTACGCGAGTTGACCTCACTAGTGTCCACGCCGCGAACAGTATCGTATAGCCAACGACCTGTGTCATCGCCCATCTTCGCCTTCATTTGATCCAGCGGCACCTTGAGCAAGTCCCGGACACTCTCGGTGTGAAACGTTGACACCACCTGGTCGCCAAGTTTGCCGCCCAAATTCCGAATCTTGGTCAGCTTGAAGTCTGCCAGAAACGCGGCAACGGCGCGATTTCGCACAACGGTTTGGCAATTGGGCTTCTTGAAACCGGAACCCAATTTGCTTAGGAGCTTGTTACTGGCAATTCCGGCCGAGCATGTGTAGCCCAGTTTCTTGCGTATCTCCGCACGCACGCTGCGCACAACCTCGGACCCGATGAGGATAGCCACATCGTCCCAATCCGGGTCTTGCGTCTCCTCCTCCTCGTCCAGGTCTACGAGAGCGTCTGCCTGCCAGTCGAGGGCGGAGACGGGCGGAAGCGGCAGCGCCTCGGTGGGGTCATCGTAAGGTGGCGGGTTGGAGAGTTCCGGGAAGCGCTCAAGCAGAACCGAGTGTACATGGGCCGACAGGTCTAGGAAGACCTCGTCGATGCTAGCCTTTTCCACTTTTTGGAGGTCGTGAGGCAGGACTTCCTTGACCAGAGCTAGGATCCTCCTCGACTGCAGCCGATACGGGTCGAGTGAGACCTTGTCCGATGTAATGTTGGCGGCGGCATCCTCGCGATAGGCCCACTTGTCGTCTCCCTCGCGCCATGTGGCCACATGTTGGGCTATCAACTCGGGACATAGCTTTTTGGCCTCTGTGACGTTACAGTGGCGCCCAATTCCAGCCGCCCGAGCTGGATAGTTGACTGCAATAAGCCCTTGCCTGCAGACCGCTTGTCAGCTTCTCTCTACAGCCGGGGCGGAGCACGGCGCACGACGGTTCAGACGTGGCTCACCATTGTTGGACCGCCAGAGGTTTGTCCTCGGGCACGCCGAGCCGTACCATCTCACACTGCGCGTAGAACGCATCGAGGTCAATGTGAGCTATGACGCGCAGGGGATTGGATGTGCTGTACGACGCGAGATGGGCAAGCTGGCGATACGTGAAGCGTGAACGTTGTCTGGCGCCACCATGGAGAGGCGAGGAGATGGCGGGCGGTGACGACATCTTTGCGCAGTCGACCGCGCAGAATTGGGTCCCTCCTCGATTCACCACCTCACCCGAGGCATTATGTGAGTGCTTAGAGTCGAGCGCAGCAGAGGCGGCGGCTGCTGTGCGAGCGGCGCGGCTCGACTGTTGAAGCTGGATGCTGATGACGCCGTGAGAAGATGCCCTGGATCAATGTGGATAAGCCTGGAGAATGGGGATGCTAAAGAGCCCCACTGCCGGCAACGGGAGCTGGGGCTGCGTGAGTGGTGGGGTCGCGGTCTTCGAGTACCTAACGGGACCACTGTCTCCCGCAACACCATCCCCCGTCACGACTTCTTCCTTGTTGACTTTGCCTACAAGGTCAAACTCTCAAATCACCACCACGCAATCGACGGCGCGATACTTGCTGCCCGATTCAATGTTGCCCACCGAGTACTGGCGCCGTTTCAGCTCTTTCTGCGGTCGCCTGGCCCTCAGCAAAGGGAGAAACACTCACTTGCATGCGCGCACCTGAGTGTCCATCTGTCGCCCGACAGAAAGGCGCCATCGACGGACGAAAAGGGGTCAAGCGACAAGGTAATCCGCTCCCCACTACTGCCTTGAGAGGCTTGAGATTTTGGGGTCGTTGGAAGGTTCAGATGGATGCTTCCGCGTGGCCTGAGTGGCACGTTCACGAGAGTCATGGCAAGGCACGTTTGCAACACACATTACTACTACAAGCCTGAAGGTAACAGCCCCTACTCTTTGTACAGGTACGCCTATGTAGATGTCAGCTCTCTCTGAGGCCCCGAAGTTACCTTGGCAAGATGCCCCGATCTACCACTTACCTCACTCCCTTGCATTTCATGGACAGATCTCCCCGAAAGTTCCTGGGCGGAAGGCGCCGCATGAGAATACTCTCGTGGTTCGATGACAGTGTCTGTGTGAAGATTGTCAGCTCTCATGCCGCGATGGCAAGGTCCAGGTGTCCTCACTATGGTCCTCCAGCCGGCGCCTGCAGAGTACAGCAATGACACCCAGCGAGGCTATGAGCGCGGCTCCGAGCACTCCCCCAACAGCTCCCCCAACCACGGCAGCTCTGTCTTTCGGGCATTCTCCCATGAATTGTGCATCAGCACACATCGCATCGCATGTGGCCGAGGCCATGCCCGTCTCGAGAGACTTGGTCTGCAGCTGGCCAATGTTTATTCTCCACACAGCGCTCTTGTCACCACAGCAATTTGCATTCGTTGAGGCGCTGCGGCAGCAGAACATGTTGCCGGTCTCGCATTGCAAAACGTTGTATGATCGAACAGGCTGCCCGGCATTCCAATTACTTGCTCCTACACCGCGCAAGTAACGCGCGTTAGTACTAGGACTGTCCGCGTCGCGTGACTGAGGGGAGTGCTTACGATCAGAACACATGCGTGGACACTCCTCGGCTTGGCCGGTAGGATCCGTGCACCCTCTTGAATATATCATACCCTCGTGACCTTCCTCCTGCGCGTAGCAGAGGCCCGAAGACAGACAGATATCGGGTCGTGTTTGGTTGAGCGCACAACAGGCACTGAACGTCGCTTCCGGGTTGCACGGCTGCTGGCTGCCATCAGCCTCTGTTCCGTCGGCCCAGTAACATTTCCTAGCGGCCTTCAATGGTGTAGCCAGGGAAAGGGCGCCGATTAAGGCCACAAGAAGATTCGGCGAAGGCATCGGGCATGTCGTATTATTGTCGACGCATCACTGTAAGTCGGGACGGATAACGCACACGAGTATGCTGTGAAGGAAGGAAAACGCTCCCCTCGAGCCCCATCGGCCTGATTCTCCAACCCCTTGGTTTGTCAAGATTGAGTGAACAGCAGCAAGGCATCTGAGAATCATAAACTTCATCATGCGGTTTGGAAGAGGGACGCTAAGCCTATGATGGTTGTTCTCGCCGTCGAATTGGGCCACCATCCCCACTGCAACTCTGTTGTCGTTCCACCACTTCGTATCATGCCAATAATTCCCTACGTCGAGTGCACGAGCACGTAATTTTCATGTCATTTTCTACATCATCAAGAGAGCCCGAAACCAATCAACTTTACATCAGGTCCAACTAGCAGAGTGAGGTCTGTCTCATACTGCATCTCTTACAAAGCGGCCAGACGCCTCCACTACAGGTTCTTAGCACGCTTCCCTCCCTTGTGAATATTGGAACTTGGATAGAAGTCGGTCCGTGAGAGAAGAACGAGGTGGCATGATCTTCAAGCCATGATGACTCTGGCTGACTGGCTTCGCAAGTCTTATGGCAGAGAGCGCGAAGTAGAGGCCACTGCGAGAAACCTCAAGGGGCGACATGCCAAACTTGCTCAAGAGGTGTGAAACTCTACTCCTGGGCAGCTCTCTACATCTAAATGCTGTGCTATCACCATAACCAGACGGTACACTGGCAAAGAGTATTGCCACTTTACCTATCTGTCTTGACGTCTGGTGCATAATGGGAACTAAGTTGAGGGCTACGTAAACCACAGTTGTGCCAGCATGGCTGCAATCGTGTGCGGCTCCCGTCAGTATTGACCCCAATGCGGAAAGCCAAATGGCCCGAACTGGCGGCGACGGCGGATCATACTGGCAGCCAGGATACTCTAACCCCTAATAGCCATGGCATGAGTCAGAGATCAGTTTCTTGAAAGATAGATTGATGTAGTACACGCCTGCAATAGGGTAGGTCAATTGGCTGCACTTCCATCCACGGCCCAGCCCCGTGAAGTGCATCTCAGCGGGCGGTGGCAAGATTCGACAAGATGGCAGCACCGCTCAAAGTTTATAAATCACGCCCAACAGTCCCGAAACTCACCGACAGCCCAAAGATTCGAGGCTTTGGCTAGCTTGTCATTGTGCTGAAAGCTGTTGTGGGGTTCGCTTTCGGGTGTGACCTCAGTATGGCATCACAACCACAACTGAGCCCTCTACAGAAACTCAGATTGAACTGAGCCGCGGCATACGGTACAATCCTCCCACAAGTCCCTCTGCAGCACCATATCCAATTATTCATCGCCCAAACACCTCGTCTTCTGTGAAATCGGAATAGCATCGGCATGCTTGCGCGACATCGATTGGCAACTGCCGCCGTGGCAGGCGCGGGAGTGCTCGGCGGCGCCCTCTACTTCGGACTCAGTTGGGACGTCAAAGAAGGAGACGCGCAGGTCAAACTCCAGTCGGACTATGACGAGACTGCCGAGACGGCGCCGCCAGAGCCCTCCAAGACCACCGGCCGGGAGCCCGCGGAGACAATGTGGCATGGCAGCACTGGAACTGGCAATCAAAAGGGTATCTGATTCCAAGAACCTCGGAATCGGCGGATGGTCGGCGCGAGGGCGGGAATTCTCGAAGAAAACATGACTGAAGCCTTTCGAAGCCGGAGGACTTCCCAGACGATGCCCGGTATGACTGACGGGCAACCTTGCGGCGGCAAATCTCCTGAAGCGACAGGCTGAGCATTTGCTTACGACCCCTGGTACATTCTGCGACGGAAACTCCGGTCTTTCTGGCATTGAAGCCGACGATTGGGGGCCTGCTTTTGCACCTCTAGCAGCAAACCGTTCCGAGCTCGCCGGTGTGGTAAGACTGGAGCTTCATGAATCTGTTGTCTTGGCCGCAGTGTTCGACCATGTTGAACGACCAACAAATGCCTCCACCACCTGGGACGAAAGATCAACATCAACTTTTGTTTAGCAATCAATTGCGCCGAGTACGGCAAGGGAACACCATTGCCACCCTGCCTAGCACCGGCAGAAACGACGAGGTGAGCACTAGGCCATTCATCCTGGTGAGATCGACTCTCAACCCGCAGGTTTGGGTCTATTATGGGCGGCAATTCGGCATATGGCAATCCGTTTGGGTCTGTTTCCTCAGAGTCATGTACATGTACAAGTATGACCCGTTGTGGGAGACTTGGTCGCGGCTGCTGCCGGGATTACCCCGTTGGTTAAACAATTGACCACAGGCATCAAGCTTGTGTCGCAGCCTAAAAGCCAATCACCTTTATTCGTGAACTACTTTTTGATGTTTGTCTGACCAAAATGGCAAATTGGTGACAAGGAAATGGCATATGCAGTTTGTAGTGAGCCAAGCCGGCTCGTGTAGCCGAGTCTGTCGCTGGCAGTCTACGCCACAGAAGCGAAAGCCAAGCTCACAGCCGATGCGAGCAAACAACGGCCAGGATGTGATTTCCTCCGGCGAGCCCCTGCATGACAGATCAGACTTGGACATCAGGCTGAGGTGGTCGCGCATCTGCCGGACATGCCCCCCGCGGCCCGCGAAGCCGCGGAACTTGAGAGAATAAGCGGCATGGTACATACAGGAGGGTAACAGTTTGACTTGAATTGTTCCGTACGCAGGAAGCTCTCTCAGGTACAGGTTACTCTACGGCCCGCAAGGTGCGAAGCTCCTGCTTCGCCAAGTTTACTCAGTAAGAGTGCGCGCTGAGAGTTACTCTCTTCACACTCGGCGAAGATCACCGAATCTCATCAGATCGCATTTGAGTCCAAGCTCTGAGACTCCCATCACGGCTAAATATCACGTGGGATTTCGCTGTGACTAGGGGTCAAGTTGTGACCAGCCCAATGTGCCGCTGCGGCGCCGTCACTGTTGTCAACACTTTGCCAGGGCGAAACCAGCGGCATCATCTCTGTCCTTGAGCCGTTCGCCGAATTCACGTGTGAAGATTGTCAGTGGATGAGGACGTGTATCCGTGCAATGATTTAGGCGCCGTGTGGATAATTAAAAAACCCAACGGGCATGACTCTGTTTTGGTCGCTGATCGCCCCTTTAGCGTTGAGCAGAACGGGTTGGGGGGCTTGCCATTCCACTGGCCGTCCAATTCGTCATAATGTAGCCTTTTGGAGACTGTTGTCCAGCTGGGTCCGACCAGGCTGGCGGGTTCCTGCGCGTTGCTGACTTGGGGAGTCAGCCGCTAAGTTAGTGGCAGTTGGGCGGGAGAAATGATCCGCAACGAGGGGCAGGCCGACGGTGGCGGCGCCTTGCACATCATGATCGCTCAGGGTCTGGTCGTTGGCGCGGCCTGATCTCCTCTCTCGTGCTGCTCAGTGCTCACGAGGGCAGGGATAAGCGCGCTGTTCTCCAGACAAGTTCAATGTTGTGAGGGGCGACTGCCAAGCGTGTCAGACTCCGCCGGCGTGCCAACGGAGTGACCCGGGGTAAGTGTCGGCCGCACTGACGTGTTTCCGTTATGCCAATTACAACTGGCGGCGGCGAGGCGTCGACGGCGGGAAAAGTTAGTTGCCGAGTGGGAGACTGGGCAGTTTGATGAAGACACCCGCGATACATGCACGATGTGACCTCCTTCAACGTCGATCTGCGGGTGTCCCACATGGACGAAGTATCCGTTTGCCGTCCAAGCCGTCCTGCCCCATTGTCAGCGGCAGACCCGACCGTGAAAGACTCCACTGTTGTCCTTGGCTCGGCACTTGACAGAGTCGTGCCTGATGAGAAACCGAGGGATGAGCGGCGCACGCCGCTTGCCTCATACTCTACAGCCCTGGACGATTCCAGCGCGAACAAAGTCCGCAGGGCGGACCGCGCCCCGTCTTGTCAAGGTGGGTTCATCCGCCCAACTCTGGCAAAACGCTAGGCATCGCGGCACTGGAACGGACTGTTGTCTGGACTCGTTGGCCTTGAGGTTGACTTGGGTCCGCCAGGGGCTACGACTCACGGACAGGACATGGCCACCGATATCGAAATCAAGAGCTGGTCTAGGCTGTTGCACAGACCATGGAAGACTCGGCCAACGAGACCTATTTTCGAACGGCTCGCTTCATGGCTGTGGAGAGGCGGGTTGTGACCGGATGCTGCCAGAGAAGGAACATCGAGGGGCGGGTATTGAGCAGCACTGTGTCTTTGACTTTTGGGCGCGCCAGCTCAGTTGCAGGCAGTACCTCAGGGTGCGCTGGAGGCTCGTCACGCACTGGAACTGTGCCTCACACTCAGCTGGCGCAGCATACAACCGCGGATGTGGATCGAAGAGTGTCGTCGACTCGCGACAGTTGGCGTGCGTGCGTGCGTGCGCCTGTCTGTCTGTGTGTGAGTGGGTTCCGTCGGTGGGTTGACTGGCACCAGCGGCGATAATGTGTCTTCTGCGCTGTCGTGCTTGCGTCGGCGGCGGGGCATTCAGGGACAGGGCTGCCCCTGACATGAGCCGCGCCGCAGGGGTTTGACTGACTCGAGGAGTCGGCGCGTTTGGAGCCGGCGCACGTTGCACCGCAGCCGGGAGCGGGACTGGCGCATCCGATCCGCCTGGCGGCGACTTTTCTGAGGGCGCTGGCGGCGACTTTTGAAGTTGCAGTTTGGTGTGTACAGCAGCCTCCAACTGCGAGCATTGACGATTTTGCCAACTTCATGGATCGGTGGCAGAAGGTGCGGCCAAGGGTTCCCACCTTGGAGGGCCCGGGCTCTTGCCTGTTGGTCTGTCCATCTCCGTTTGCCCCTTGTGCATGTGGCGATGCAGTGCGGAGTACTATAAACCAGACGTACTCCGTACTTCGTGATCCGTACCTGCCTACTCCGTACGGATAAGTCCACAGAGTGGCACGGAGCCAGGGGTGCTGGCCTGAGAAAGGTGCACAACACGTGGAGCCAAGGTATACCTAGGTAGCACCTACCTAGTTCCTGTATGCAGTCATTGCAGTGCCGTGTCAACAGCACGAGGCAAGCGCGACGGCACACTGCCAGCAGAATTTTTTCAACTCGTGGGCCAGGGTCGGGAAGACTGAGAGGCAACACAACACACCGACGAGTGGGTTTGGACGGTGGAGGCTCGGGACAGGTGACAGCTTCCACCATCGCTCGGCTGTCGCCAACACAGGGCAGGTCACCGTTCGGCATGTATGGTGCCAAGCAACGAAAAAGCAAGCTTGCCACAAATTAGACGTCAAACGTCGGGGGGCCCATTGGCGCGTGCCCAACTCGCCATCGGACAGAACTCGCATTTCGCTGAGGCCAGACGATGACTGGACCATCAGGCAGAGCCGCAGCAAACCTTGGAACTTAGGCCTTGCCAGGTTCCCAGTCTCCAGCCCTCGTCGCTGCGGCACAAGGGCGGCCCTTTCCTCCCGCCGCCGTCCCAAGCACCAGGTTTTGCTGTCAACTCGCCCAACATGCGAGCCAACAGGTCGACCAAATGCATCGTGGCCCGTCGACGTCTCCCGTCGCCGCCGCCATGACCAACGCGCCTTGTCTCCCCGCTTCGGGCCTTGGCCAAGGAGCTTGTCTTGACCCGTTCGCTGTGCCGAGGCGGGATGGACGGATGGGCCCCTTGCTCGGCCTCTAGCTGGTATCGTTCCCCAGGTTTCCCGCTCCTCAATCCAGGCTGACATCCTTGTCGACGAGCCAGTTAGTTACCGCGCCACTCGCAAGCCCCCCCGATTTCCACGCCCTGCCCTGGACCGCGGACGTGTGTTGGCCACGTTGTCGCGATGAACACCGGTGCAGAAAAGAGATGGAGAGATGCAGCCGTCTGGTTGGCCGCGCTGGATCGCGGTTGGCGAGTGCCCGCAGCCGCCTCCTGAGTCGCCCCCCGTTCCGACCACAAATCGGGTCTGTTGTGTCGAGTGTTGCAGCCCTTTGGCGCGAGCGCCCCGACCAACATCAGGCGACCGCACTTCGTACGCATGGAGCGCAATTACAACTCACAACAAGCGCCCAGGGCGGCCAGTGCGATGGCCCTGGGGAAACGGTCGGCCAAGAAAGCCTCTGAATCAGGACCCTGGGCGACGCAGCCCCGTTCGCCTCCACAGCTCCTCAGTCCACCCCTCCATTACGAAGTACATGCCGACATCCTCAGTAAGCCCGCAAGGCCCGACATAACCTGAGCTCCAGACAGGCAACGCTTCTGCTCTGACACCCTCCCCGTCGAGGCCCCGTCATGTGTAACTCATCTCCTGGCCCCTCTCGTCGGCTTCCGGGTCCCGTTGTTTCTCGCCGCCGACCAATGTTGGCGACCATGCCGTGGCTGCCATCCCTGCTGCCCACTCCAGTCGGCCATCGCCGCCACCGCTCGTCCGCCATGTCCCTGTTCAGCAAACTTCAAGGATTACCTGGCCAGTGCCCGCCCCCCCCTTCCCTGGCATGCCCGGACGATGCGAAGTTCGAGCCTCCGTCCGGCAACTCCATCGGTGCCTTCCCACGACTACCTGCGGCACTCTCTCCGGACCCTTGTCGCAGTAGTTCGTACCTAGCTTCTCAAGCCATGCCCGTTCTCGGTCCCCATGCTCCAGTTCTCTCCTGTCTTGCAGCTCGTGGTCGCACAAGGCTGTTAAGCCACTCGATCAGACACTCCAATCTCTATTCAATGCACCCCGGGTCGTTCTTTTCGACATTCACTCTCTTCCAACCTGGACCTGGAGAACTCATATTACACTCCTTCCCTTCCGGGCCAGTCTTGTCTCGACCGTTTTGCCCTAGATCGACTCGCACCGATCCACAACCTCGATGCTTGGGCCCTGATTAACAGCCCGTTTCTCACGGACCCCTCCTTTATTTCGATTCGGCCTTACTCCTGGATCGAGCAGCCAGGCCCCCTCCTGATCGTTGCAAGGGCGAGGCTGCCGGGGCAATCAGCTTCATATAAGATATTATACACCCTTCGCTGTCAGGCACCCGCGACGTCTCTCGGGGCTCCTTTGCCTTCTGGAACATCTCCCAGATATATCCCCGAGATCTACTTTGTCCGGCACGAGTGCGATACCAGCTGTGCCACGAGCAATTCCTTTCTGTCTGCCAACCACCCAGCAGTCCACAGTTGCCGGCCTCCGCCAACAAGCCGGCTACAATGCGAGACTCATTCAGGGAGGATCAGCTCAACGCAATTAGCATCATCGAGCGATCCTGCTCGGTCCTGTCGCTACTAGGATGCATATTCACGATTGCCACGTTCTGCATGTCCAGTGCGTTCCATAAGCCCATCAACCGGCTTGTCTTTTACGCTTCATTCGGAAACATGATGACGAACGTTGGTACCCTGATGTCTCGCGCATATCTGACCGAGGTCGACTCCTTCGGGTGCCAGTTCCAGGGCTTTTTGATCCAACTGTATGTACGAGAACGCATCGACTGAACGGAGGCAAGGCTGACCTTGGCCATAGCTTCATGCCCGCTGATGCTTTTTGGACATTGGCCATGGCGATCAACGTCTACTTGACATTCTACTACAAGTTTGACGCACAGCGCTTGCGAAAGATGGAGTTGTGGTACCTTATAGGCTGCTACGGTATCCCATTTATTCCAGCATTTACGTTTATTTTTGTTCGAAATAGCCGCGGGCAGCGCGTTTATGGCAACGCGAACCTCTGGTGCTGGGTCAGCCCCGATTACGACATCCTCCGAATTGCTGTGTTTTACGGGCCCGTATGGTATGTTGTGGCAGGCCAAGTTCTAATACGCTTGCGTGATGCTGATGACGCGTTTGCAGGTGCGTGATTCTCGTCACCTTCTTCATCTACAGTCGCGCCGGCCGTACCATCTATGAGAAGCGCAAGCAACTGCACGACTTCCATTCATCAGATCCTGATCCTCTGTCCGTCAACGGGGAGGCTTTCGCCACTATGAAGCGAACCGAGGTTACAGTGACCACCGAAGCCGCGAGCGAATCTGGGATCCAGATGGGACCGGTCAGCAGAGGTGACACGTCGGCTGGTGAGGGTAGCCGAAATGCCAACGGCGCATACTCCGTGCACATTTCTGCCGAAAGCCAGTCTGGCCCAGCTGAAGGCATGTCGCTACCCATCCAGGGCCAGACTATTCAACAACAGACGAGCACCGTGCAGATTGCGCGTCGCCGAGCTACGAACCCTGCGCGGCGGCGCAACCACGAACTGAACAACGCGGCATGGTCTTACACCAAATGCGCCATTCTGTTCTTCACCGCCATCTTGATTACGTGGATTCCCTCAAGCGCCAACCGAGTCTACTCAGTCGTCCACGCGAAGGAGACGTTCGTGCCGCTCGAGTTCATGAGCGCGTTCGTCCTGCCGCTGCAGGGGTTCTGGAACGCAGTCATCTACGCCGTCACGTCATGGGGCGCCTGCAAGAACCTATTCCACGACATGAAGCAGGGCCGAAGGCCGGCCGTTTCAGAGCTCGTCGGAGGGGGCACCGGCGCGGATGGGACGAGCGGCGGGGCCCAGCGCCGCAGGAGCCAGTTCAAGACTCCCGCAAGGAGGAGTTCTGGCACGCTTGAGTCGGAAAGCATGACAGAACTCGCCAAATCAAGGACAGATTCGGCGGACGGGGGTCAAAGCTGTTGATACCGGGGCTCATTGGTGGACGCACTTCTCTTCGTACGAGCGATTGGCCTTTGTTCTGAGGCACCAGGCCGCTTTCCCTAATTTGTCTTGATGCCAGCAAGCCTGCTGCCGGAATATGATTGCGTCTTTAACGTCGTTGGGAATGAATGGGACACTGAATCGGAGTTGCATTTGGGCGATACCACGCTGGTCTGTTGACATTTTCCTCCTCGAATTGTTCTACGGCTCTCTTTGCACATTGGATCACTGATGTATCTAATCACGAAATGTTTATATGTGACGGTGGGCTGGTGTGCTTTTCGACTGGCTCATGGCAAAGAGCTGGTCGCTCACCCTACCATCGCCTCGGCAAAGTACATGTATAATGTACAGATGACAGCATTGACAATCTCTGGCATGTGCGGCCTGTGGCTCGCATCAAGCCCTCCCACACATGGCCGTCGTCAAAGTGGCTTTATGCACTGATTGTCTTGCGCGTGGCCTGTCGTGTGGCGCGCATGGAGTGCAGGTGGCTGTCATGCATGCACGCAGAGGGCTCGTGCGACAACCATGCCATTCCATCTTTGTTAATCTTCAGCTCACGACAGGCGCTGCAGGAACGCCAGCATCGCTGGAACGGGACAAAGTGCGGGGACGGCAAAGAGTGCACGGCCGGAACATGTGCCGCCCACTGCCGTGCCCAGGAAGAGGGACGCGCCGAAGGCCTTGGCGGAGGACCGACGTCGAGAAGACGTTTCCGATTGTTCGGCTGCATGGGGTGGGCGAACCGCTCCCCCTCCCCTGCCTTTGGGCATCGTGAATCTCTCTGGGCTGCGTGCGATCTACGGGGCAGGGTTGTGCTTCCTTTGCGATGGGCGGGCTGCCCGGGCGGCAGGGATACGCAAAGCCAGGGCCAAGGGGGATTGCGCTCACCGCAACTCATCGGGCGGCGAGAAACTGATTCGGGCTCGGGCATTTCCATGCAAAGAATCGAACACATTTCATGCATGGTCATGGTCACGGTCCCAGCTCACCGTAAACAGTTTTAGCTCTTGCATCACTCGCTCCCTCCCCTGTCACATTCAACGGCATGGAAGGAGACCGTCATATCCGTCTCGGCGCTTGCGACACAGGGGCGAGACGTGCTCATGTCTCAACGATGTTTCCTTTCGCCTTCTCCGGGGGGCCGTCCACCCCTCTTCTCGGCTCTCGCTGGCGCTTGGACCGTCGGTCGCATCCCCTGCCGGAGTTCGTTCGGGCTTCAACCCGGCAGACGGGCTTGAGGCCGATGGCGCCCACATGCCGGGCGATCGTATGTCGGGGCCGACGGCGGCGGCGGCGGTTCTTGATGGAGTTGTCGCGAACTCGCTGAGCAGCGCTGACAGGCACAGTCGCAAGTACAACCCGCGAGTGCCGGCGTGGGGCGGGACTCGTTATACGGAGGGCAAATGTACTATACAAAGAACCACTTGAGTTCCTTATCAAAGAATGATATACTTGGTAAGTTTGTCAACATCGAACCACCGCTAGGGTATCGACAAGGGCTCGGTGATATCCTAGCTGGGTCCATGTCACTGGGGGTTGTCGCTGTGCGACCGTCCAGGGCAATATCCGCGCCAGGTCCCCAGACGGCAGCATGCGCTGGCCTTTCGACATGCCCACGAGGACGGAGCGGCTCTTCGCTTCGATATAACCGAGGGCGTGGTATGGTCGTGCATGATGGGCACGCAGCATCGCATAGAGCTTCTTAGAGTTTGGACTATCGAGGACTCCGCGACCAGGGCAGCATGTGCCCGGTACGAGCGTGACTTGCACTGTGTGTCCCCAGGGGCAGGACCCGGAAAACCCACCCGAAGAGATGGGCACGAACGGCAAGGAATGGAGCGTCTTGGCAGTCCAGCGTGTAAGCGATCCGGAGCTACCGTTCCAGCAGTGATGCATCCGCACACCCACTCGGACCGCCCAAGGCTGCAGCCGCGATGGGGATGCACTGGTTAACTTACTGTCGCATCCGCCTCTCGCGGGACGGTCCTCCTCCGTGGGCCGTTGGCTGTGGCGGTAAACCTTGGGACTTTCCGTCTTCGCGGGGGGTTGAACGCGACCTGTCCCGGCGCACAACCTCGTTCATTCTGCGGGCACTTCTCGGCCGGGCCAACGGCCGCCGCGAGATCTCGCTGCAGCAGTGTCCCCGGCAGGCTGGCGAAAGCATACGAGCTCTCTTTTTGCCTTTGACAATGCGAGGGTGCTGGTGTCGACCGCGGCGATCCCCGAGCCTCGTATGACTCTTGACATTTTAATGACAAGACCCACGCTCCGACGGTCCCCGGACTGTGAACTGTCGGGCGGCGGGTGAAGCTTCATCAAAAAGCTAGAATGGCCAGTTATTACGAAGCATGGAGGCTGACGAGCCACCGTAACGACCCCTCACCAGCCAAGATGAGGATGCTACATCATGATGCCTCATGAGTGCTCTCACGTCCCCTGCGAGAGCCCCTGGCAAGTGACCGTGTGCCCCCTCATGCCCTGGCATCCTGGCCAATACGTGCCTTGCCCGACGTGACATCGGGTGGCTGGGCGTCTCCCCACATTCTTCAACGGCCCTGCCGTCGACTGGTGCGTGTCGTTTTGCGTCGAGAACGAGACATTGGGACCCTTGCTTTCTCGCCGCCACCGCCGCCCCGGCAATTGAAAAAGACTGGAGGAGGGGAGGGGTGGTCTTGGGCTCAAGCATGACCCAAGGACCAGACAACTTAAATTGCTCCCGAAGCAGATGATTATCACGAAAGACTTGGTAGAGGTCTCAGAAATAGAACCGAGCGCTGTATGTCTCAGTGGGCGGCAAGGAGGGGACGTCGCCAGCATCCAGTTCCGCAGACCTACAAAAGCAAGTTTCTTTCTTCAACACTGCCGGGTGGCTTGCCAGGGACCCGGGATGATGGGAAGGGATCTCGGCGGCCTGAGCTTCGGGGGGCCCACCCAGGCGCCCAGGCGGGAGATTGTGGGGGATGCCCATTCCCTGTTTGTGGCCGCCTTGCTGGGCGTGGAGGATGATGCTCGACGAGATGCGATGAAGATCGTCCGGTCTTGCTCGATCCCCCCTTTCCCCGTGGTGTGTTGCCAATCCACTCACTCACTCACTCACTCACTCACACGCCAGGACTTGGCTTTGGGGAGATCCGATGCTACACAAGATGCCTTGGCCTGCTCGTTGTGCATCAGCCATGATCCTGCCGAGTTCCAAGACTTGGCTCAGGCAGAACATCGTCAGACTTCCCAGGTTCTGTCTCACTCTCCGTGCTCGTCACGTCTTGAAACGTCTTTTTCAACGCCTGTCTCTGAAATTATCCGAGACGCCATGCGCCCTGCGCATGTGCAGCATGTACAAGGTGTAAAGAAAAACCCACCCGGCGGGAGCGCTCTGCCGGTCGAAGCTGGGGGTGTCGGCCCCGCGACGCCCTCAGACCGAGCCGCACATGTCCAGAATGCTCAATTTGCGCCTTGGCCTCATCGCGTCGAGACGGCGTCTGATCTGAGGGCCAAGGTATGTCCATGTATGGCCTGCGGCGCGTCTGCCAAACTGCCACATGTCGAGCAGGCCCCGGAATGTTCCAACCGCCATCCCGTCTGTGAGTCCCCTTTTTGTAGTTCAGCTGGGGACAAACGCCTTCCGCCTGCCTGAAATGGCATATGCGCAACACGCTCTCGCGCAGTAAAGAGGTCCGTGCCACGGGGTTGTCTGACGCGCAAGAGGGTGAGACATGCGAGCCATCAACTCCGGCTTGGCCTATCGCCCTGTATGTTCCGTGTCAGGCACATGTACGCTGGGTCGCATCGCAGCCTTCCGGCTTTGATCCTACTGGTCTGCACCCTTGACGGCCTCAATCAAGTGATACTCCCAAAAAGTGCCCAGCTCGAGGCACTCTTCCATGCAGTCGCTGTCATCCCACCACCACGAATCAGTTGTCACATGTCGCCCCCAGACCTCCTTCCAAAGCAGGCGGCCTACGAGGCTTCTCAGCTCCGCCTTGGTCTTCTTCTCCGTCCGCAGCTGCTCAATGGCCGGGTCTGGATCCCGCTGTTGGAGCCTCACGTTGTCGGGAGTCGCGTAGAACTTGGTCGTCGTCAGCGTGCTCCCGGCTGCGCGCAGCGACGCCTCGCCGAGCCATTGCGGGAGCGCCGTGCTCGGGCTTGAGCACCTCGACTGCCTCCTGAGGTTGCTCAGCAAGTGCTGATCCAGCCACTGCCGCATCTTAGCACCCAGCGTGTTGGCGCAAGGTAACGGATCGATCAACGTTAAGTGCAAGGTCCCCCCCGGCTTGAGAGCGCTGCTCACATTGTGCACTATGCCGCGCAGGTCTGACGTTGTGCAAAGCGCTGGCAAGGACAGTGAGTATGCGGCTTCGAATAGCTGCGGTGGGATGGGAAACGTCGATGACGAGATGGTAGCGACCGACAGTGGCTGCACGTTGGGAACCGCTTCATGCGGCAACGGGGAATCGGAGAAGTGGCAGATACGCCTCTTTGGGTTCAAAGCCGCGAGATACAACGCTGTGGCTGCGGAAGCTTTAGCCGCTGCCCTGTCCAACTGACTGCACCCAGCTGGTACCGCACAAACCTTTGGACTCGTAGAGAGCGAGGATGTTATGAATATTGCCCGGTGCGATTCGGTGAGGCGCTTGCCGCTTCGTATCGTGGGCAGCTTCTACGTCCAGATGACTTACAACGGACAGCATCCACCGGGTCTTCTCGGCCTCGAGCTGTGCGAGGTTTGGCATACTGGCATTGGCTGACCATATCGTCTTGAGCCGCGATAGCGCAACTGCCGGTGTAGCCTTGGCCATGGAATCTGCTTGATTCATCAACGACTCCAAATCAGTTGCCTCGTGTGACACGGTGAGCCACGACCCGAGCGAGGACGTATGCTCGTTGCCCGATTCTTCCACCCAGCCCGTCATGGTTTCTGGAGTCACAGATCGCCCGTGATCGGGCGATCGCAGAACCTTGTGGTCGTTGACATTGGCCGCCAGTGGCCGATATGACACCCTGGACCGCAGTGGTGACTTTGGCGGAGGTACCAATGGTGGTGACGGTTCCGGTGGCTCTGGAAACAGCGACGGATGGCTTCAAGATTGCGGTTAGCCTCCACGACGACACGCACGGACGGCAAGTTTCGTTGCTCCTACCCTCTTGTAGGAGACTGCGGCGGAGTCATAGGTTCTCTAACCCTCATCCCGGGGATGATGAAGGCCTTCTTGACGGGACTCGGCAGATCGAAGATGGACAGCCGGGCCATTGGTGACGGCTGTAATTGCCCCGTCAGTGGCGGCAAAGGCGGCGACGCAGCCCACCGGGTTGGGAACTGGGTGATGTCGCAAGCTCCAGGAGGCGTCGCAAGTGCCGCCGATGGAGGCTGCGCGCTCGGGCTGTTGGGAAGCAAGACGGAATCTATATTGGCGAACTCTTAAGCAACTCCACAACACTAGCAGGCTTGACAGCCGCACACACATGCGATTGGCGTGCAACTTACCACTCTGGAGTAGATGCGGGCAGAGTTGATGGGCCGTGCCGCCGGCGGAAGCAGGTTCGGGACAGGCACGAGCCGAGCCGAAGCGACCAGATGTGTCCTTGCTGGAGTGGCCGGAGCTCGGACGACTCTTGGTGCCAGAGGTCCTGGAGAAGGGAGAGGCCGTGGAGTGGGTGGCGGAGGAGGATGCGACGGCCGACGAGGCCGACGACTTTATCTTGGCCCCGGCCTTGGACGCGTTCGCGTGCTTTAAACCCCGCGATCTGAAACGGGCGAAGGCGGATTCGGCAGTGGAGGATCGTGAGCTGGTCGTCGACATGGAGCCTCTGCCGGAGCGCGTCCTGCTCCTCTCAGCTTCGTCCCTCTCCCTCTCCTTTCTAGCCCTGTGCTCTCCCACGAGCTCCAGGTCCGGATCCGTCCAGAAGATCCCCCACATGGCGAGCGGCGGCCGATGATAATGGGCAAAGACTGTGTTGGACTTGCACTGCCACCCATCGCCGTGCGGCCGGGGGACATGGGAAGGCGCGCAACGCAACGCGGCTTGAGACGGAGACGCGCGAACTGAAGTGAGAGGTGCGGCATCAAGCGGCATCAACGTGCGACGACGGGGCGAGACGAGGCGAGCGCGTCAGCGCAGAGTCGCAGACTCAGCCCCTTGAGACGGATCGCAGCAAGCAAGGGAAACGCAAAGGCAAACGCAAACGGGGGGCGGAGGGCGGTTTCTGCGCATCAAAAGGCGGCGCAAGCGAGCGAGTTCCGGGAAGGTCGACGGGAGACCCTGGGTGAAGATGAAACGGCCCACGTGAGAGTGGTTGGTTGAGCAGCGACGACGGGGGGGAACGAGGGAACAGCAGCAGGGCCGGGATGGCGGGCCCTCAAAGGGCAGGAGAGCGCGCATTGCATCGAATATCGATTTCGAGCCGGATTGAACGCGGTGGTGGCTCGGCAGCGGCATTTCGTGCCCGCCGCCGGGGGAGGGGGGGCGTGACGGCGGCAACGGGGGCGACCGAGAGAGGTGGGAGGGAACAGGTAACGCAGGCAAGGTAACGTAGACAAAGCAGACAGGGACCGCGGGGGTTCGCGACTCGCGTTCTTTGCGGACCAACGTATGCTCGTCCACAGCTGGACGCACGGGTGGACGGATGGGAGTCGGACATGGATGGATCATGGATGGATGGATGGATGGGTGGGTGGATGGATGTAAGAACGAGTGGATAGTGAGCTGGACGGATGGTTGGAGAGACGGAAACATAGACAGACAGACAGAGCAACTCCAAGTCCACCATCGTCGCTACACCACGCCCGACCATTTGCTGCGTGCCGACCAATAGCGCGGCTCGATGCAGGCAACACGAACGCACCGCAGCGGCCTGGATCTCGCTCAGCTTGTGGGTTATAATATTTCCCAGCTTCCAAGCATAGCACAAGCATAGTAAGCGAGACCGTCTCCACGACTACTCATCGGAGCGGGAGGGGGATCCTTTGTTCTTGCATTGATCCTTGGTTGAAGAAAACGGGGCCCTGCACGGCTGCCAAGAAGAGACGCGCGCCACACTGATGGGGGCCGGCCGGCAGGGCGTCGTCTGGGCTCTGGTTCGCGCTCTGACGGGCGCGCAGGACCGAGGAGGAGCATGGAGGAGGACTGGAAGTCTCGAACCAACTGAGAGCTGCATTTGAGCTCGCCAGGGGAAGAGCGTGTACGAGTACTCGTATCTCTGACTCTCTCATCTTCTTTCTCTCACCCCTTCATGTTACCTAGCCGATGATGCTTCGGCCAAGGCTGCATGCTGCAAGCAAGACCTCAGCTCCATTTGATGGCATTTGGCGCACCCAGCCGCTCGCGCTCGCTCGCTCGCTTCCCCTGACTCACATCCTGTGCGGTCCTGTGCTCTGCTGTGCTTCGCTGTGCTGCTCACTCGCCTCGTAATAGGAATTCCCGCCTTCTCCTCTTGGTCCAGAGACCAACTCCTCCTCTCGCTCTCCTACGACATCGCCCCATCCAATCAACTACTTGCCGCCGGGCGTGCAAGAGCACATACCATGTGGCGAGGGAAAAGCGGTGATACGTGTCTCCCGAGACCCAATACGCGGCTGTTGGACAGATGCAGCCTGCCGTCGGGCGCGCAGGTCGTCTCGTGTGCGTATTAGTCTATAAGGCAGGCCAAGGCAATGTTGCCGTGCAGTAGGTGCAGTAAAGCAGAGTCTGGCACTGCGTGCGTGTCGCTGTGACGGCAGTTTTCGCCGGTGCGAGAACCAACATCGCCGTTCATGTTGCTTCCGAGTTGGGAACAGAGACAGACACTTCGCAGCAACAAATCCCCACAGCCTTTCACCCCCGCAAACCCCGTAGGGCTGCCGAGACTCCGAGGGCCTATCCGTTCTTGCCGGGGGTATCAAATCGAACGACCAACACTCTGCAGTCACGTCTCCGGGCTTCCCCATTGAAGATAACCCCCCCACGGCGTTGCCGAGTGCCATGGCCACCAGGTGGCCCATGCGACTAACATCACCCCGTCACGTCGTCACCAACGCCCATCCTTCAGCGCGCCTCCATTTTGTGACTCGGACCTCGGTTACACTCCCCCAAAGCTCTTGAAATCCATCCAAGTTTTCCCCCTCGTAGCACAGCTTAGGCCCCCCGTGGGAATGCAAAGGATCGGTGCATGCGGGCCTCTGCTGCTTCCCAAAGATCGCGCTCCGTCCCCGCCGGCACGCATCCATACCCTGCCCGCTGCCGCCAGACATCAGACGAGTCCGAGCTCAAGACTCGCTTGCAGCATCTCGTATAACTCTGATATCATGTCAAGGCCAGCCGTGGCTGTGAGAGGCTCGCTGCGCCGGCGGATCGCAGCACGTCGAACGCGTGTAGCCGCCCGAACAAAACGGTATTTTGATCGTAGCCGCCGACGACCTCGCTTGAAGCAACAAGAGAGTGGTTGAATTCCGGTGCAATACGTTCGCTTACTTCTGTTGGGACATCGTTTCGTCTTGTCGCGGCGTTCTTGTGAGCAGCTGGAATCTCCGCCATGTCTTAAACTGCGTCTGTCATGGCCTAGATGAGGACATGTTGCAACCCGGCGCACGCCTTCAAGTGACATACACATATCTCGCATCAGGCAGCACGGAACCGCCACGCGAGTCTCGGTGTACCCGCAAATCTGAGGGGTGGCTGCATGAATCCAAAAGTGAGGCAAAGGAACACTGGGTCATTGCCATACAGTCAGCCGTCTCCGACGCCGGTCACCTCATCCGATGCCCTCGTGATCGTGGCCAAGCACTACCGAAGCTATGTTAGCCGTTTATCCCTAGAAAACTCTGCATGGCCGACTTGCTTGCCGTGTTGGCCGCCAAAGCAACGATGTCATATACGCTTCCTTTGGCCAATTTCTTGGCGCCGCTGAGCCAAAAATATGCGAACTTGAGCAGGAAGGAAGTCATATCAAGTTTTTACAAGCATCACATCCTTATGTGCCAGCGCTTTTCCAGGCGCTCGCTCCCGATTTACGTAGACTTCGTTGATGCCTGCTGTATACGATGTGACTCTATGTTCTCTGGTCTCGGTAACGCAGTCCCACGGCGTCCTTGCCCGACATGAGTTCCCTGGGCCTCCTTGTTCTATTTTGCTCTTCCGTATCATAGTATCCAATTTATCAGCCTGCCATCACACGTAGCGTCTTCGTAGTCCAAGGTGTCCTCACCTATCTGTCCTGGGAACTGACTCAGGGGTGAGGTTCTCAACATTCGCTTTCCCACCACCACAGGGCCATAATATGCGGCAGACTCAAGCATCAATATTCCTCGTTACGCTATAGAGTTTGTCTTCATCGTGTCCTATCCTATCCTCAAGTGCGCTGTCTCTCTTGTCAGTCGCCCGAACCCGAATGATGCAGGCCCTCGCGCGCCTCTCTCCGGCACGGATACGTATCGACTCTGCAATGGCCCAGCACGCAGACGATCAGCAATCTACCGCCGCCTCTTTACCGCCGGGTCCAACAGGCAGGTCTAGGTTCTTTGGGATCCGCGACTTCTTCGACTTTGTCGATACTCGCATAACCATGTCCCGCGTTGGTAGACTCTTCCATCTGGCCGGCAGTGGCCATGTAAGACAGGCCACAGAAACTTTCTCAGGCGGCGATTTTCTGCTGACACCTAGCAGCCAGAAGAGATTCCTGAGACTACATTTCTCAAGGAAGTGAGAGCCGGGTTGACGACTTTCGCCACCATGGCGTACATCATCGCTGTCAACGTAAGTCGCGGCCCCTGAGCTCTAGACTGAGCCTCGCCGTGGAAGTTGCAGTTATTAACGCCGACTTAGGCATCTCTCCTAGCTCAGACGGGGGGCACTTGTGATTGCGACATGGCAGACAAGCGCAGATGCGACACCGTTCCAGAATTCGCCGACTGCAAGGAACAAGTTCGACGCGACCTCGTCACCGCCACGGCCGCCATCGCCGGCATGGCATCCGTAACCTTTGGCGCAGTCACCAACCTCCCCGTGGCCCTCGCCCCAGGCATGGGCCTCAATGCCTACTTCGCCTTTCAAGTCGTGGGCGTCAACGGCAGCGGCGACGTGTCCTACCGCACCGCGCTCACGGCCGTCTTCTTCGAGGGCCTCATCTTCATGGCGCTCGCGCTGACGGGGATGCGGCAGTGGCTCGTCCGGTTGATCCCAGCGACCATAAAGACAGCCACGGGCGTTGGTATCGGCTTCTTTCTCACCGAAATCGGGCTGTCGTACTCGGCGGGCATCGGTGCCATCACTGGCGGAGGCAGCTCGACGCCCCTGGCCATCGGCGGCTGCCCCCTTGAGAAGCTCAACCCACAGACCGGCCAGTGTGACTCGGGCCAGATGGCGAATCCAAAGGTAGGTCTTCCCCCGGCCTAATATTGTGAGAGAAGCTGACTTCGACAGCTGTGGGTTGCCGTCTTTTGTGGTGGCATCGTGACGTCCTTCTTGATGGCATTTCGTATCAAATACTCGCTCATCATCGGCATCGCTCTGGTCTCAATCCTGTCCTGGCCGTAAGTCTGCACTGTCTCATCGGTCCCTGGTATTTTCTCTGACGCTGTGCGAAATCAAATAGGCGACACACGCCCATCTCATACTTCCCCGACACACCCGAAGGCGACTCACGCTTCGAGTTCTTCCAGCAAGTTGCCGCCTGGCACCCCATCTCCAAGACACTCAACCAGCTCGACTGGACGTTCGGGTCCAGCGGCTCGCACTTTGCCCTCGCGATATTCACCTTCCTGTACGTCGACATCATCGACGCCACGGCCACGCTCTACTCCATGGTGCGCTTCTGCGGCGTCGTGAACCGCAAGGACGGCGACTTCCCCCGGTCAACGGCCGCGTACTGCATCGACGCCGCGTTTATATCCATTGCGGCGCTCTTTGGCTGCTCGCCCGTGACGGCCTTCATCGAGAGCGGCGCTGGGATTGCTGAGGGCGGTCGCACGGGACTGACTGCCATTGTGGCGGGTCTCTGCTTCATCGGTGCCGTCTTCTTTGCGCCTATATTCGCGTCCATCCCGCCCTGGGCCACGGGCTGCACCTTGGTTCTTGTACGTGCTTCTCAACACCGTTACAGAGTCCCACGAACTGCTAACACCAAGGTCGTCGAGGTTGGCTGCATGATGATCCGACAGATCACCCAAATCAACTGGCACTATATCGGTGACGTGCTCCCGTCGTTTGTCGTCATGGCCTTTATCCCGTTCAGCTACAGCGTAGCCTACGGCCTTATAGCGTAAGTACACATACTTTCTCCAGGCGAATTTGCCACAGCTGAAACTATGAGCAGGGGCCTCTTCGTGTACGCCATGCTCAACGGCCTGGTTGGCGTCGTGGTCTGGTGCAGTGGTGGCCGCATCGAGCCTCGAGAGTATGACCTAAAGGAGTACTGGACGTGGCGAGGCGGCGGTCGTGCTCCTTGGCTCGTCAGGGCCATCAAATCTCATTGCCGCAGACCACGGGCGGCAGAAGATGCCGGCAGCATCAGTGGCCTCAGCCTCGAGGAAACTCAGGTAGGCTCAATGCAGGCGGCAGAGCGGCGAACCGACCTGCCCTCCAAGGAGTATCCGGAACACGTCGCGGAGCCAGCAACACCTGGCCAGGCAGCATCCGCGACCACCTATCGCTTAGGGCGCTGAAACTTCCCGCGCGTTTGTAAGCGGTCTTCTTCCAGAGGGCATCACATCCTGTACAGGAGGCCATCTTTCGTACGTAGACGTTGATATGACAAAAGTCAGCACGGGAAGGGGGGACGGGGTCAGAGGCACTCCGAAGGAGACGCGCTACGCCACAGAAGGCTGTGGTCTATATCCATGTTCCCCAGGGAACTCTTGCTGAACCAACGGATATTCCCATGCCTGCGTCGCGATATCGTAGTTTTCTGTATAAACCGAGGGCCGGCTGATGATGGCCGCGCAGTGTGTTAACCTATGCTTCTTCGCCCGGGAATCAATCCACATCCATGTCCTGGTCACCTCTCCTTGCGGCCTTCTCAGCCGTCTTCCTCCGTTCCAAACTCTCGTCTACCCACTTGCTCACGGCCGCATCACCGCCCTGCTTGAGCTTCTCCCTCACCACGCCCTTGAGTACCTCTCCCGCGAAGCCAACAAAGTTGTGTCTCCGCAGAGCATTCTCAAACTGCCAGTCGCGACGCTTGCGTTCTTCTCGCGCCAACAGCTCCTCGTCGCCGAAGTCGCGCGCCCGGATTCGCAAATCACGGCACATTGCCAAAAGGTTGAAGCGTATCTCGGTGGCTTCGTAACGAGCTACCCGCTTTTGCAGGACTTCGACGACCTGGGCGGGGAATGACTCGGTGGTGCAGGGCCCATGGGAGATGGGCGATGGCTGCAGTCCGTCGAGCTCGTATAGAGTTCCGTTGATTGGGGTGTAGGCGATGAAGTGGAAAGCGTCTTCCGCCTCACCCGTCTTTTGTGTCTCGTCGACAAAGGGGCTGCTCCGCGCGAAGCTGTTGTGCACCTCCCGAATCAGGTCCGAGTTGCTCAGGGCCTCACCGCGGAACTCGGGTGGCAAGACCATGGTGAACTCGCGAAAGTCCTTCATTTGTGTCCCGATGTCCACGTCGTCGGTCTTGTTCATCAGAACGCTCAGGAGCGCCTGCGTGGCGCAAGCATTCTGAATCGTTTGCGCCGCGAAGAATATCTGCTCGGAGGCGTTCTGGTCAAACGAGCCATCGAGCGGTCCGTCAGGCGTCGCGTAAGGCCGATCGGTCGGGTATTTAAAGAGGAATATGACTCCATAGAGCGGCCGAAGTGTCGCCAGTTCGGATGGGTCGAGGGTGAGGAGTTCTTCGAACTGGACGTCCTTGACTCCGAGATTCTCGATGAGGGACGTGAAGACGCCCTGACGACGGATCAGCAAACCAAAATTGCTTGTCATGAAGGATTAAAACTTTACCGCATCGGATTCGACTATTGTCAGAGAAATGGTCAGCCACGTCAAGCGATCAGGCACAAGCGGAATGGAGGAGAGCCATACTGGTATTCCAACCGCCACTCATCGTTGCGTCTCTGACGCCAGGCTCTGGCCACGCGTCGGAAAACTGAGTGGTGGTTTCAATGTGTCAGGGAGAAAGAAAAACTAGCGATCAATTGCTGCCGGAAAGAAGCTCTATGGAAGCGTGGGCGGGATGCGTCGCAATGTTCTGGAACTGGCAGAGGAGACTAGGATTATGTCGAAGCGCCGTTGAAGCTTACAGTGGAGAGCTTGTGCCAGGTTGAAGCTTGACGCGCGCCCCAGCTCCACGCCACTCACTGGGCGATAAGATAGCGGCTCTTGCCCCCCAACACGTGAGCTATTCGCCGTACGCAACCCTCGACATCAACCACCTACACCACTGCATCTCGGCGTACGGGAGGTCCGTACGTACGCCTGTAAGGCGCCGGTTTGAAAAGCATTTAAATACGTCGACGCATGGCGGACGGTTGAGGGCGTGAGTCTCGGCTCTATATTGCCCGAGCCAGCACATGCTGCAACCCTCTAAGTAGCCAAGCGACGGCAGGCAACCAGCTTAGGCGCGAAATACATGCACCTCAGGTCTCCAGGTAATGCCCTACGCTCAGTTGCTCCCCAAACACGCTGCCGTTCTATTTGTCATTCGTACTCGCTGTCCCCTGATCACGATGGAATTTTGTGCATTCGGCTTCATAGCGCAATGAGATCGTCCCTGGCCACATCGCCGCCTCGGCCAGCTTGAGGAGCTGACTGGCCATCTCCGCCCTCCTCTCCTTCCTGCTCTGCTCCCTCGCGGGATCACTCGTTCTCATGGGTATTCGTGTCGTTTTCGCCGCCACTCCTTGCCTCACCTTGGCCATCGCCGTTGTCAGTCGCGGCAGCTGCTGCAGCCGCGGCAGCCGCCTCAGCCTCGCGCTGGCGGTTCTCTTCGGCCCTCGCCTCGGCCTCGAGGTTGGCAATGTGCCGCTCTGCAACCCCAGGCGCAATGCTTGCCAGAAATAGCAGGCCCGCTCGCTCCAGTCGTCGCACTTGCCCGGTGAGCCAACCCTCGCGCCCCTGTCGTTCGGCCACCAGCCTTGCGGCCATCTGTTCCGGATTCGGTTCTCCGTCATGCCCACGCCGGCCTCCCTGCCCGCCACGTGGATGCTCCAGAGCCGGCAGAATGTTCTGGATATGTCTGCCAATCGGCCGCCAAGCGTTCTCAGCCACGCCATTGAGAAGCCCAGTGCTCAAGACGAACGCAAACACGGCCATGCAAATGATCGTCAACCACCTTGACCAACTGGAGTCTGGCGATGTGAAGAACCATACGAAGAGACCGAGCCGGAAAATCAGCCACATGTGAGGCCAAAGATGAAGCAGAAGGGGAGGGAGACCAGCTGCGGGCGGGTTTCCAGGATGCACAGGCTGGATCGGCTGCTGGACATTCACGGGAGCTGGAGGTTCAGGACGTGCTTGTTGCCTCTGGTCTTGGGTCTGAGGGACGGGGAAGGTGGGTTGTTGGGCCATGTATGCCGCATTGGCACCTCTAGCCCCCGGCAGATGTGGCCAACTCTGCTGGGGCCTGAGCCGAGGCGTATAGTATGTCTCCGAAGCGGAGGGGTTGAATAGAATGGCTCGCGGACCCTCAGGCGACATTAGAATGTAAACCTGAGAGCCCGAGCTCGCCTGAATGTTGGCCCCCCCGGAGCCGTACGCCGTGTTGGCGCCAGTGCCGCTCGCTGACGCCCAGGCGCGTGCTGCCTCTGCCCATCTTGCGTCCTGGTCCGGGGTGGCCCGGCCGCTGCCGGTGAGCCTTGAGCCAGGGCCGAAGACTGGGGTCGTGACGCCGGGCTGGGAAAGCGGTCGGTTGTGTAGCGGCGTCCCTGACGCCGTGCGATGCATGGCGCTGACCAGGGTGTTTGTGGCCTGATTGTCATCCGGGCTACGAAATACCCCCTGCGGGTCGGCAGAGGGCTGTCCGGCATAGACGGCCCGTGCTGCTCTGATGATTTGCTGCTCATCTTGAGCTCCTCGCGCCGTGACTTCGTTCTGAGAAGCCAAAGAAGTGCTTGGGCTGGCTCTACCGCTAGTAGGCTCCTGCCCGGCGACGATGCCATTCGGGTTGCCCTGGTCGCCAATGCCCCTCATGCCCATCTGGGCCCTTCCACGCTGGTTTTGGCTCACCCGAGCCCTGAACATAGCCTCTCGCTGGAGGTGGGCGTCTCTTTGTATCTGGGTCAACCAATGCGTCATGTTCTGGTGTTGATGTTGAAAGGCTGCGGCTTGTTCGTGCGTGTAATGCGGCGGGACGTTGTAGGTATGAATTGATGGCGGTGCTGGTGACGGCATGCGATGCTGCGGTGTAGGCATGATGGGATGCTGCACTTGTCTTCTCGGCAAGCCATCCGGCCCGACGTGAGGAGACTGTGAGCGAGGCCTTGACGTTGAAGCTCCAGCAGCGTTCGGGGGGGTCGGCGTGTGCATGTCCGTGGTTTCTCGAATGACGAGGTGGATCGTCTGTCGGTCGGGCTCTCGGAGCTGGAGAAGAACACGGGTCAGTTACATCAGAGCAGAAGAATGGACGAGCTAGCAAGTCCCATGGGGAGGATGGCTCACGGCATCAGCACCAAATATATCGAGCAAGCTTTCCGAATCACGGAGCAGGGCTCGGCCGCGGTGAATCAGGCGCTGGTTTTCGTCGGCCGGCCGAAGAGGAAGGGCCTGTCTAATACGATTCTTCAACCCCTTGATGGTGGTCGCGGCGGGAAGGTCGGGGAAGAGCAGCGGGCGATTGACGCCAACCGATGGCGAGACGACCTGGAGGTTGACGACGAGCTGGTCGGGGGGCGTAAGGGCGGCGCCATCGGGGTGGGAAGCCATGGGCGCGGTCGTCATGTTGGCTGACTGACTGGCACGCCACCCGGACCGAGCAGGACTTGAGAGAACGTCGACGAGCGATATGGGAGGGGGATGTCTCGATCCTAACGGGCCACGGGTGAAAGGCGCTGGTAACTTAACAAGACGTGTCCGTGCAGGTCATGTCAGACACACAGAATGCGGAATGCTGCCCGTCTGGCAGAAGGACGGGCGACGCAGGAGAAGGGCCAGACAGAAACAAAAGAGAGCGCTGGGTCGCAGGACCTGTGCAACCTCGAGTCACAAACGGAAACAAAAATTCTACACAAGGAGAGAAACGCGATGGATCAGCGCATCGTCGGGGGCAGTGGTGTCTGGACGCGAGACGTGCAAGAAGAGGACCGGTGGCATCTCAAACGGATGCGTTTCGCTGCCCGTTCTTCCACGGTGGCAGGATGACGAGGTACGTACTTGTACAAGGTACTTCCATCAATGCAGGGCAGCCACGCGAGGGGAGGTGCAGTGACTCCGTCGGGTGACTGCGCGCCTGCCTGCCTGCCAATTCGGTGCCTGGCTCCGGCAGGGACATGGTGGGCTTGGCAGTGTTTGGCTGCTGGGGGGTCCCGGGGGTCGCCTCGGGAGATTACCAATGACGCCTGGCAGTGAGGTTGGAGCACTTTCGGCACTGGATCGCCCCAAAGGCTTGCGTCGCCGCATGCTTCGTGCTCAATTGCGAAGCCCGCGCACGTCACCTTTACCTGCACATGCCCAGGGATGGAGCGGGGAGGGCGCCTCCGCGTAGCTATGATGCGCCCAGCCGTTTGAAACGCACGGTGTGGATGGCGACAGCTGCCCAGGTGCCATGCTCTCGCGTGTGTCACCGTCAGGTCGCGGGAACTCCCTAGTCGGGGACTTTGGGGGCGGGTTGAACGGGCAGCTTGGGTATGCTGCCGAACGAGCCTCCAGCTGCGAATCTCCAGCAGGCGGATCCATACTTTTGCCGGCGCCGGCGCCCCGCCCACGCTGTGGCGGGAGTTTGTACGTCAGCGATGCCTCCAGACTCCGGACTCCAGTGACGAAAGGACCCTCCTCTCCAGGCAGCCCTCCCAACGTCTCCCGTCTTCCTCGACTCGGCGGGCCATGGCCAGTGCAGCCAGACCGTAAAACCCAATTGCACCCCAGAACCCTGATCGGCGCGGTTGAGCCTCTGCTCACGATGGCTGCCACGCTCGGGCTTGGCCCTCGCCAGCTCGTGCACGGCCACGCGGTTGCAAGCCTCAACGGCCGCTTCCTCAACTGCGCGCCTCGACATGCGACGTCTCTCGTCCCCCACGCGCGATGCACGCGCCGTGTGCCATGCACCGCGCGCAACTTTTCTTCCGGCTCTGGCAAGCGACCGCGCTTCTCCCATCGCCTCGCCGAGGCCCTCCGCAACAGCAAGATCCAATGGTACCAGATCCCCGTCGGCCTGGGCATTGGCTTTCTCGGCCTGGTACAGTTCTACAAGGTCTCCGCCCGGGAGCAGGAGAAGAGGCGGGCCGAGGAAGAGGGGCAAGTTCCCGGAGGGCAACCCAAGCCGCGCCCTCGAGTCCGTCCAGAAGGTCCATGGCAGGTTCAGGTCATGTCGACTTTGCCGCTCAAAGCCATTTCGCGGTTGTGGGGCAAGTTCAACGAGCTCACGATCCCATACTACTTGCGCGTTCCTGGCTTCAAGCTTTATTCATTCATATTCGGCGTAAAGTATGTCCCAACATACCTCACGCTGTCTGTTGAACCAAATCACTGACAAGCACAGCCTTGACGAGGTGGCCGAGCCTGATCTCCACGTATACCCGAACCTGGCAGCATTCTTCTACCGAACCCTCAAGCCCGGCGTCCGCCCGCTGGACCCCGATACCAATGCCTTGGTTTCTCCCTCTGACGGCAAGATTCTTCAATTCGGCCGAATCGAAGGGGGCGACATCGAGCAGGTCAAGGGCATGACGTACAGCATTGATGCGCTGCTTGGGAAGAACACCCCGACATCCAGTATTCGAAGTGGCTCCTCCAAACACAGCCAGCCCAAGCCGAGCCACCGCGAGCGCCATGGTGACGAAGAGATTATCAAACAGGAGGAAGAGTTTGCCAAGGTTAACGGCATCTCATACACCCTCCCTGACCTGCTGTCGGGCCCGAGCCACGGCAAGGCGGATCATGCCGCTACAGACGAGTCGACCGAGGTCTCGCAGCGCGCAGTCTCTGAAGTTCGTGCCGAGCTGGCCCTAGGGGAGAAGCCGTGGTACGACATCCTCTCCGAAGACAAGGCCAGTGCCTTGTACTACGCCGTGATCTACCTGGCACCAGGTGACTACCACCGCTTCCACTCTCCGACGAACTGGGTCGTGGAACGGAGACGACACTTTGCCGGCGAATTGTATAGTGTTTCACCATACCTACAACGCACGCTGCCCGGCCTCTTCACGCTGAACGAACGCGTCGTGTTGCTCGGCCGCTGGCGGTACGGTTTCTTCAGCTACATCCCGGTCGGCGCCACCAATGTCGGCTCCATCAAGGTCAACTTTGATCGTGAGCTGCGGACCAACAGCCTGACGACAGACACAGCGGCCGACCATGCCGCCGACGAGGCAGCGAAGCGTGGCGAGCCGTACCTTGGCTTCGCGGAAGCTACGTATGAGGAGGCGAGCACCGTCTTGCATGGCCACGCGCTGAGGAGAGGTGACGAGATGGGAGGGTTCCAACTCGGCAGCACCATTGTCCTCGTTTTCGAAGCGCCACAGGAAAGGCACGACGCGCACAAGCCGGCGTCGGGGTGGGAATGGTGTGTTGAGAAGGGGCAAAAGATTCGCATGGGCCAAGCTCTCGGACGTATCTTGCCGGAATAGTGTACTATATATGTGGCGTGAAGGACACGTCTTGGTGCCTGGATGGGCAGAGGTTGCATCGCGTCTTGGCGAGATGGATAGGGCATTGTACATGTATTATATCCAACTCGTTATTAGGATAACTACATCTCATATATTGGGTTTTTGAGATATCGGGAAATTTTCATGGATGCATTGGCCCTTTTCGTCGCAAGCACATTTCTAGAAGCAGTTCTTATCAAGGTGAAATGATGAATCATGTTGTATATTATCCATATCAATCGCTGAACAATGTGCCCATCGTATCCCGTGCCCAATAAACTCCGGCGTAAATGCGTCTAGTCTGTCGCTGGTTCAATCCCAACTACCATATTTCTTCTCGGGCCTGGGGGGCGTCTAAGCACCGAAGACCTTGACGCGCTCCTCAACAGGCTGGAACTGCTTCTCGCCGGCCTCGCCGGTCTTGCCGCCAAAGACGAGCTGGGCGCTGAGCTTCCAGGTCTCGGGGAGGCCCCAGGTGGAGGCGACCTTTTGGTCGATGAGGGGGTTGTAGTGCTGGAGGTTTGCGCCGAGGCCCTCGAGCTCAAGGGCGGTCCAGAGCAGGTACTGCTGCATGGCGTTGCTCTGGGAGGCCCAGGTAGGGAAGCGATCGGCGTAGGCGGAGAACTTGGCCTGCATGCCGCGGACGACCTCCTCGTCGTCGAAGAAGAGGATGGTGCCGGCGGCGCCCTTGAACATGGCCATCTTGTCGCCGGTGGGCTTCCAGTTGGCCTCGGGGACGATGTCCTTGAGGATGGTGGTGGTGATGTCCCACAGCTTATCGTGCTCGGCGCCGAGGAGGACAACGGCGCGGGTGGACTGGGAGTTGAAGGACGAGGGCGTGTGCAGGGTGGCCTCGTTGACCAGCTCCTGGATGCGGCTCGCGGAGATGGTGAGCTGCTTGGTCAAGGGGTAGTGGCTGCGGCGGACCTTGGCCAGCTGGAAGAGGGTGTCGGCGGTGTGCTTGACGGCGGACATTTTTGCGGTACTTGACTTTTGGTCTTGTATGTGGGTGATTTGGTTTGAAGAGGCGGGCTTCTCGTCACTTTTGTATGTAGACGGGGAGGACGAGGTGCTTTGGAGGGGTTGGCTTACAAGCGTGGTGGTGGCCAACAAGTGTTGGTTGAGTCTTGATGTATGTAATGTGATGCGATGGGCAAATGATGCGCTGGCTAACCAGGGTGTTGCTTTGATGAGATGCTGTGCTACTGAAGAGACATTTCACATCTAGGACGAGGGACGGGACAAGCACTTAAATACCATTTGGGACGACGACGATCTCGAAAGGCAATCTCCATATCTCGCCTTCGCTTGGGAGGGGTGGGCGGCGGCGGTCCCGCAAATGGCACGCTGCGGGACCTTGGACGGGAATGCGTGGATGAGAAACATTTTTTTCCCTAGCTGATGCTACGATGATCAAGCCCGCCCGCCTAGTACCAGACGTAATTACTCAATCTGGTGGGAAATCGGGTGACTGGCCGACTCGCATCGGCGCAACCCACTCGCGGCGTCAACCCGTCAGTCGCCGCCGCCGCCGTTGCGGGAGGTTCTTGGCTCCCAGCGGGAATAATGCCGTGGCAGTTGGTACCCGGCGGCGCAGACGTAGCCTACTAGGTACGCATGGTGGGGGGAGGGGCAGCAGCGACGGAATGGCGGGCGGAAACGTCTGGAGCGGCGGAGCGGGACTGGGGGGGCGCCAGCGACGCTGCTGAGTGATGCTGAGGAAAGCGAAAATTGTCACGTCAGTGCGAACGGGGGGGGGCTGGCTTTGGTGAGCGAGCGAGCGCCTGCGTCAGTTGGGGGGAGGGCATCCGGGTGGGGCACGTGCCGGGCGGGAGCCTCAGTTTGTCAGCGGTAGCGGTATGGACACCAGCAGTCTGCTATCCGGCTCGCTGTGCCGACGCCAGGCTGGGATCTGGGTGGGGACCCCGTCACCTAAGCCAGCGCAACAGTGCTGTTTCAGCAGCCCGCCCGACGAGCCGCACGACCATGGCGCAGGTGCCTTTGTCATAGCCGCGCGCGATGGCGTGGGCGCTCCATCTTTCGCGACGCTTCCCCCCCGCCACTGGTAGTTACTGTATTCTCCACTGCCGAGGGAGACGCACGTCGCGCGCGCGCACACACTCATCACTCGTGCGCCTCGCGACGCGGCGAGCTCAGGGGGCCCCCCCTCCGGTGATACGAGGGTTTGTCCGAAGATTGTGCGACGTGCAAGCCCAGGCGGGTTTCGAGGCAAGGCACACGGGGAAATGAATGGCTGAGCCGGACTCCCCGCCGGCAGCTGCCCCGGTTGCATGCAACCTGATAGCTCGCCTCGTTGCGGCTGATGGTGCCGTTGACTGGCTGTGAGCTCAGGAGTCAGGACTGGCATCACTGATCCTGCCGGTTGACTCGACTGCGACAAGCACGCATTGCAGGGTGAGCACCGCGTGCTGTGCGAGATAAGGGCTCCAGTCCCGCATCACCAGTAATCCCTCGTGCCACCGTTGCAAGCGAAAGCTGGGTCGCGCTGCCAACGCCGTATTCGTGCAATAAGCATCTGCGACAAGCCACATGTGCCCCTCGCCGTCTTGTGTAAATGTGCTCAACTCAGTCCGTGGAGGCCATTGCTCCTAAACTAAAAATAATCCTACATGGTCCATTGCTGCAGCTGTTCACGCCATCATATATGAAAATCTGGACAACACGGATGTATTTGTACCTTGTCGCTGTCTTGCGTCGTTTTTCGCGCTCCCGAGTCCCAAGTAGCTCCATGCTTGGCCATGTTGAGAGAGCATATTGCCTATTATAGCAGCTCTCAAAGGCTTCGAGGTACGGCCGCCTAATCGACCTCTTCTTGCCATCCTACCCGTCTCACAACCCACACCACAGATGCAGCTACACTATAGCCTCGTCGCCGTCCTCGCGTCCCTCCACATAGCCGTTGCGAGCGGCAGGAAGGGCTCCTGCGACGGCAACTGGACCTGCGACCACGCCTGGACGGCCGGGATGCCGGTCCTGCAGTGGATCAGGGCCCAGACGTTCAGTTTTCCCAAGGGGCACAGGTTCAAGAGCGGCGAGCACATCATCTGCAGATATTACATGTGGGGGCCCGCGGGGTTCTGCGCCTTCCTCGAGAACACAAAGGACGGCGCGTCGGGCCAGCGCGTGCTCGAGCTGCTCAAGGCAATCGCCGACCGCGGCTGCACGAGATGCGGCTCGTATCCCGTCAAGGGGGAGAAGGGCACGCCGGAGTGGGACGGGCAGCTCACCGTCAACTACGTCCACGCAACGAACTGCGAAGGGGCCTGCATATAGAGGTGCTTGCTGATGGGCGGGGGCTTATGTTGTACTGGCGTTGCAGGCGTACCCATATTGTGAACTTGTTCAAAGCCAGGCCGAGCCCACAGGCGCTTATGTAGTCTACACACAACAATTGTGTTGTTCATCACACGTTCATGACCCTGGTCGGACGAAGTACCTAGGAGGTTTTCCTACAGCACGGCACCGTCTTTCCGCTTCCGCTTATGTTCCGAGCCGAGCGGGGGCCCGGCCCCGATCTGGACTGGGCGGCATACGAGTAAGCCAGTGCTGGCGGTGACCGGACATATGTACCTGGCCCCCGAGTATTGCCAGTCCTCGGTAGCAGGAACAACTCGCTCACCTTTTCAATGGGGTTTCTGTTGGACGTTTGGGTAACCATGGCGTGAGCGGCAGTGACATGGTGGGTGGTAATGTCTACCGTAGGCCTTGCACCACCACTCTCAGCTTGGTCAAATGTTACCCTCCGGCCAGTATGTATGGCGCCTCGTTGGCGGTTGAAGCATGGCCACCGCACACAACGTTCGTGCAAGTTGAACAAATATGAAGATATGGAGGCACAAAATCGGTTCGTCTTCCAGGGACGGCAACGGCCGCGTCGACAAAAGAACGTCAATTCGCGGATGTCAAAGTGCAGGGTAATCAAGTCGAAACTCGGCCAGGGAGTTCATCCTCCCCACATCCCGCAAATATAGGTCCCGCATTCCGTTACCCGTTTTCAATGACTCCATCCAGCATTCCCAGCAGCAGCAGCTGCTGCAAGTCAGCTCAAACCGGGCACGCACATGACAAACCTCCGCAGGGCAGACGCAACTTCCGTGACGACGGCCTCTCCCCTCCCCCACTCAGCCCCCCCGGAAAGGCCCCGTCCGGCATCTTTTCGCCCCAGCCCTCCGTCCGAACGGCTGCAGGAAAACACATCTGCCAGGGTCCACACCCCCTTTTGAGGCCTTGGGCATTGGGGGAGCCACTGAAGCCCCGGCTCCGCACACCCAACCGCGTCCGCCCGGCATACGAGATCCCGGTTCTGGGACGTCATGGACCGGACATTGACATCGACCCAAGGGCTTGCACCTGCATAGGCGCCCTTTGCCACGTTACTGCAACAATTACGTGCACCGCTCTGCCCAGGACCTTGGTGGGCGGTGGCGGCATCTGGTACCAGAATGTCGTCAGTATCGTCCGCCAAAAAAATCGGTCACTCAAACGAACAGTACGCCATCTTGTGATGTCTCGACAACTGCTGAGCATTGCGCTATCTGCCTGCTGCTCCTCTCTCTTACTCCAACGATTCCATTCAATGACAAATAGGTACGGTGCTTTCCGCGCCAACGTCTTCATGACTGTTTCACGCACTATTCGTGAAGCCAAGTCTGCCAGACGCTGCAGAGCCGGCCGTGCTTCCGATGATGACAATCCCTTGACTCCGTAGCCCCAAACTCCCGTGATGTTTTCGAGCCAATGCTTGCGCCCGTTGGTTTCTAACATGCGTGACCCATCTGTCCCAGTACCGTAAAATGCGTGGCAGAATCAACTTGCTGTGTCCCAGTGAACCCAACTATACAACCCCGAAGGCGGAAAATTTGATAGGTGCTGTGCGGTTGGCAGCCACGTTACCAAGTCTCCGCAATGTACTGTCCCGCCTCCTTCTTCAGCTGCCAGAAGTTGCCAGCTTCCTCCCGCTCGAGGTTGCCCTTGGCCATGGCCACGTCGATGAGCGCCTCTTCGACACCCTCGCCCATGCCCTTGGAGCTACCGCAGACAAAGACGCGGCCGTCGACGGCGTTGATAATATACCACACGAGATCCGCTTGGTTGCGGACTTCTTCCTGCACATACTTGCCCTCGCCGCGGCGACTCTGCACGACGCGCTTGACCTCGTCCTCGTGCACGCCCCACTCACCGCTGTAAATCTCGTCCAGCAGCGAGTCGCGAACGCCTTGAAGCACCCACACCTTGTTGGCGCAGTTGGCCTGCTTCAGCCGGCGCTGGACGAAGCCTCGGAAGGGGGCGATACCCACCCCGGCGCCGATGAGGAGCATTGGGCCCTCGGAGTTGAACTGCTTGGCCAAAGGGTTCGCCATCAAGCCCTTGAACATAGGGATGTAGAACTCAGGGTTCTTCTGCCCGGCCTTCTGCGCCTTGAGGAAGCGCTGAGCCTGACGCTCAAAGTACCCAGAGCCTACGCCTGTGCGGCACCCTCGCTTCCAGTCGTTGGTCTCGTGCACCGTGACGGCGATTTCGATGAGGCGATGCTGCTTCTGGTCCCGCATCTGGTATGACTCGTGAGGGTCATTGGAGAGAGAGTAGAACCGTGGCATGAGCGGCTGGAGGCAAGACAGCAACTCGTCCAGGGGAGGCTGCGAGCTGGGGAAAGCGTTGAGGAGCTGGGAAATGGTCATGTGCGGCCCGGTCCGGAAGTCGCAGAAGGCACCCTGCCCCTCGGCGGAGCAGAGGAACGTCAAGATCTTCTTCTCGTTCTCTTCGCTGGCGTGCTCAGCCAAGACCCGGAGCAATGGCTTGGTGGGAGGGTAGGACTGCAGATCCGTGCACCAGGTGAGCAAGTCTCGCCGGGTAGTGACGAGCTCTCGTGGCTGGTCATCGCCCCAGACTGTAGGCCATCGACCCTTGCTAGTCACAAGCAGCACGGGCTTGTCGCGTTGGAAGCGGGGAACCATGAGGGCATCCAAGACGTCATCGACCACGATGTCGCAGTTGGGCGCCATGACACCGATGGCACCCCCAACCTTGAAGTCCGTGCCGTCTTCAACGGGGTAGTCGGTAATGTCGAGGTCGAAGTGGTAGGTGCGCTTCTCGGCACCGACCTTGGTCAGCTCGCGACTGGTGTGAATGCGGGCCGGGTACACGTGGTATGGCGGGTGCGGTTGCACGAAACGTGGTGGCTGAATAGAGGTGTCGACGGAGCCCAATCCATGGCTCGACGCTTGCTTCTCCTGCACTGTGCCCGCGGTGTGCGTCGAGTCGCGGTCGGACCCGAGGGATATGGCGGAATCGGTGGGCGATGGCATGTTACGCGGCTGAGGAATAGACTTGAATGACACCGTCTTCTCGGGCAGCTCCGTGATGCCCGTCAAGCTGGTCGGTATCTCGTTAATATGCAGGCCTAGAGACTGGTATGCCTCGTTCGTGGGCTCGTGAACGGGCTCATAGTCAATGCCGGTGCGCCGCGAGCCGCCCATCAAGCAGCAGCCACCGCCACAGCATCGGCCAACGAACTCGGCGGTCGTTTCGCCGGTGATGCGCTGGATGTCACGAGCATTCTGGGCGATCAGCCTCGTCGATGCTCGACGGCGACGTGTATGGTCGACGCGAACGAGTTCCTCCTGGTCGTCAGACTCGTCCGAGTATGTGAGAGACGGCGCGATTGAGGGCGCCTTGGGCTCGGCGGGGATGCAGTCCGAGGTCGAGGACACAATGTCCTGGACCGGCGTTGCACTCGGCATCGCGGGCGTGTAAATGGTGGTTTGGTGGGAGGAGACGGCGGCAGCGGATGGAATTGAGGATGCTGAGAGGTCGGCGTAAAGTGGGCGAGAAGGGTGTGTCGAAGGCTCGTTAGGGGCGTCTGAGCATGTCGGTAGGGCCGCTGCATGCAGAGTTTGAGGACGGGAGCGAGCAGACAAGAGACGGGTATCAATCGCCAACCAGACGTAGATGGCAGCCCAGATAGCAGGAATGGCGAAGAGACAATGGACTGGCAAAGGTGCTGGCCGCAGAGGTGGGATTGAAAAAGTGAAGCGTCGAACGGATCGAGTCGGAGGCGGCGAAGACCAAGTGGTCGAGGTGTGGAAGCCGAGGGCTTTTGGGCTGCAGCGGGCGTTGAGCGAGGGCTGGGTGGGTGCCGGCGTGGGCGGAGGAGGGGCGTGTGCCGAACGGATCCCTGGATGTATCCCAGATGGATGTCTCACAGCGCCCCAGCGCTGTGGTTCCAGGCGGGCCAGCAGCTTCCAGTGCATCTCCGGTGGGCTCCGATTACTGGAGGATTCTGGCATGTGGTGAGCTAATGATTGTGGCATCCTGACAAGCCTTCTCCGGAAAACCGGGGCCAGCAAATCACGAGGCGCCAGTTACGCCATCGAGGGCATTTGACAAACTGTAACTGGCCTTTATCAATCAGCGGAGAGAGGAAGCGATACGATGCGGCCGGGAGAGCCACGCTGTGTGCCCGGTGCAGGTGCGCTGGTCTCGCCTGGGAGCCCGTCCCCGAAGGCTGCCGACGGGCTGCCGATGGGGGCGCCGATGGACGGAGGAGGAGCGTGAGGAGGAGGGGATGCGGCAACCCCCTTATCAATCAGTCGGACCCCTCAATCAATCAATCGGCCGGGGGGGCACACGGACGTTCCCAGCGCTGCATATGTGTGCTGGCCAGGTCGCGAGACGCCTCGGCAAGAGGGGCCTGCTTGCCGGTTGGGCCTCTGCGTCCCAACGCATCCAAGCGATGAGACAAGATTCACTTTGTTCTTCTTGTACAGTACTGTACGTACTGTAATGAATGTCCGGGACAGTGGCCACAGGGATGGAAAGAAGGGCCGGGAAAAGGGGGGGATGAACGGACGCCCGGGACAGAACCTTGGCCGGAGCCTACTGGTCACTGGTGGGTGTCACTGCCCGCCCAGGCAGTCCTGGCCTGTCCAGCCAGGCGGCGCAGTAGCCGCTGTTTCGCGCCGCCGAAAACCGGGCAGCCAGCGCCCGGGCAGCCGTCGAGTGCCGGGCACTGGGAGCCTTCGGCGACCCAGCGCCTACGTTACGGCAAGGGCCCGGGCACCTGCAGCACTACCTGGAGGAGACCGGGACCTGCCTGTGGCGGGCACGACTGGTCACTGATTGATAGCGCACCCCGGCCCGGTTCATCGCCGCACGCCCCAGAGGCAAGGAGTCAGTCACGCCACCGGCCGTCGCCTCGTGCCAGCAATTTGCTGGCCGCTACGGCCACCGACCGGCACGCCGTCGAACCGAACAGTTCCGGGCCTTTTGGTGGGGAGGGAGAACGAATTGCCACTCACAAGACACCGCTCGAGGGTCAATAATTACGATGACGGCTGCGACGCCAGGTGAGCATCACTTGGCTGCGTTTGGTTGTCCACGTGTTCATCGAACTGTTGGATTCGCCGTCTCGACATCCACCGGCAATCGTACAGTCACTTGTGCTACCTACCACCACCACTATATGTGCGAAGGAATCACGATTGCGGTGGGCGACGTATGCACCCCAGAGAGCCCCTCCCAACATTTCCACCTCGGAGTGGAGATGGCATCCATCCATTTCATCCATCCAGCCATGGCGCTGTTCGCCGACACGGCCCGGGTTGCGCCATGTCGTGGTTCGATGGAACAGTTGACAGTCAGCCTTCCTGCCAGCGTCTGCCCTCGTATCCGTACCCGTGCCGAGGACACATCTGCACTCTGCACTCCATACGGACCACTCGTACCTGCAAACAATGGTGAGCAGCATCCCGGGCGTCGCGTCTTCCGGCTTGGCCCCTGGCGTCACCCTGGTCGCATCGTGATTCCCTTGACGCGCTGCCTGAATGCCTGGCTTGGTCCGCTCGCGTTAATTGCCCACTAATGGAACCCAAACCGAGTTGTTGGATCCAGTCGTTGATGAGGGTGTGTGACTGGGTCGCCAATTGGAATACTCTTGTCGTGTCGCTGCATCCCCTGTCTCACCCTGCGGGAAAAGTTTTTATCTGATCATCTTATCAATCGCCGCCCATCTAATCTCGCTTTGGACGAGGACAATAGACACCACCCCTTCCCTTGCCTTGGCTGCCCAGCTACCCTTGTCCGAGACCGATTTCACATCTGATAATCTGTGGTATCGCTGCACCCCCCTACGCCCCCTTCGGAACGCTTCCCCGGTTCCTCTTGACCCGTGCCCTGTCTGCCAAACCCCCGAGTGCTGGTTTACGCGCGGCCGACTATTAGATCGTCATCAAATTTGACTCAGGGCTGAGTCGGGAGTTCTTGAAACCACCTCTCCGAGTCAGACACGGTCAAGGCTGCGCTGCTGTCCTGTCACAGATCTGTTTCGCTGGGTTCAATGATTCGTGAATCGTGATGAACTGTGCTTACGATGTGGTCGCATATAGCCAGCTCCTAAGTCTCTCAATACTCTTCTTGCCTCCAGAAGAGAGTAGGCTCCACGCCGGTAGTCAACACACTCCGTCCTATCCCGAAGCTGTACCGAGCAAAACAAAATGAGACGCGTGCGAAAACAACCGGACGTGTTTCCCGCCGGACCGGAATAAAGTGTTGATGCTAGCCCAATGAAACGACCCTGGTGCGGTACGTAGTCATGGACCCGGCTCTGCGGTCAGCTAGGATGCTTGCCAAGAATAATCCAGGATAGACGTTGCCTGGTATGGGCCAGTGTCCCTGGTTCCCGGTTTTCCCCTTGTGTTGCTAGGTTTGCATGCGACCAGGTCTCTCCTGCAGCCAGCCCCATCCTGGCCTTATGAGAACTTTTGCGCTTCTCCTGACCGGATGGAGCCTACGTAGTATCAGGACCCCGAAGCACGAAGGGGAGGACGAAGTGACGCTACTTGGTCACCTTCTTGCCTCCACTTCAGGCATCCATACACGTCCACAACCATACCGACGGGAGGAGGCGAGCTGCTTCGCAAAGCAACTTTTCAAGACGGCTGGGCCCTGAAATGTCGTACTGCACTCCTGCACGCCTAGTCATCATTAGACAGGGTACAGTTTCCTGCTCCCGAACGGCGGTACAATGCTTGTGACAAGAACCCTGCAGGGAAAAGTGTCGAGCTTATGGAATTGCCACGGGATACACGTACTTCGTCATGTGTACCTCTTCATGTGTACCTATTCATGTGTACCTCTTCGTGAAGATTGGGCGGCCTGCGTGCCAGGCGAAGAATACGCTTTGCCCAGATTCCAACAAGTTGTAAATTACGTGGGAAACAAGACCGTTTTGGGCCCTTCGCATCGCGGCCTGTCGTGATACCTGTTTGTCTGACCAAACATAGACTGCAACCCCGGCGACACACCACCGGGCTTTCCTCTTGTACATGCCTAATTTTCCACAACTTGGGTGCAAAGCCCATGTTGAGACATGATTCGGCCTGTGGATTTTTCCTAGTCCCGTGTCTGGAGTTGGCCTCCAAACTCTCCATCCAAGACGTATTCAGCAGGGTTCGAGTTGCCGACAGCGCTGAACACGGATTAAATCGACATCATGCCACCAGATGGCTCAATCTTGCGGCAGTCCGACATGTCATTTCATATTATGCCTGTACTGCGACGCGTTGCACCAGTCTGTTAGGGTCCAACATCAGTACAGCATCGACCGGGTGCATAGAAAATGCCGGCAGCTTCGTCACGAACGTGTCGCTGCTAGCTCAGGCCGGAGTCAGACAAACAGGTTCAGACAGCGGCTCTGGCGCCAACCTGCATAATGCCTTTGCCATGACTGGCCACAGATAAATGGCGAGAACCAGAAATGCTACGTGTATGAAAAGAGCTGAGACGGCGCCCAACAGATAGTGTCATTCAATGGTACCCTTTTGGGCAAAGCCACCAACACCTGGCATCAATGTTCTACGGCGTCGTCCACGTCGCTGATGGAGCCACATTCTGGATGTCTCAGAGGTCGCCCGCAGCCCGGGTTCAAGAAGCCATTGCTCTGCCGGCGATGATGCTTCTGCAAACGGCCAAGATAGCCGCTGCAGAAGCACCTCGTGCCGGAACGGGGCTCTAACGATGCGGTGGCTAATGCGACGGAGCGTTCGTTTTCCGAGATGCAACGTGTTGTGGCATCGACCGCTGTGTGGTGTGTGCGCGATCCGGCCCTGCTGGTGTGCTGGAGTACTTCACTCAGACGGCCTCGTAAAGGCGCTGCGAGATATTGACCGCTCTGTTCCAGGCGCGTTGCACAAGTCATCGGGAGTTTCAGCCGTAAAGCAGGGAACTCAGGGCTGGAAGCCCAGGCAGATGCGCCACGGCCAAAGCCCTTGTCAAAATTTGCGAGCCGTTTTCTCCAACTCCGTACATACTGTAGCCTTCATGTAACTTGCTTCAGTTTGCGAGCCAGGACTCTAAACCATACCACGCGGATATCCCCTCTCTTTCCCCGTGGCCAGCTGTCTCAGCCACGAGTTGCGCGATCTGCTGCACCCGAGATCCCGTACAAGCAGTCCCACCCACCGGCTTCGGCGTTGCTTGGCACCTCGTGGTGTCAATTGTTCGTGGCCGAGTCGACGAGCTTTGTCTCGCGGTATAGAGACTCACCTTGACCAGCCCGGTGGTTTCAACAGCAGAGCAGTACAACTTGGTCAGGCGCATCAATGGTTGTCGGCTACTGCCTCAAGTAGCGAATAGCCTGCGAAGCAGTCAAAAGCACAACATCACGCACGGCGTTGCAAGAGGTTCACTCTGAGTGCAGCTCTGGCTGTCACTACCAGCTGTCTACTACACACAGCATCGTCATGACCAACGCGGCGGCGGCGGAAGCCGGGCATCAAATCCCCGACTTACACCGACCGCTTTTATTACTGCAACCACAGCGCTTTAGCTACTATGCTGTAATTGGCGCCGTTCTTCTATTTGCGTGGCTTTTCCAGTCGAGGAGTCACAGACTTTGTGTGGCGGCTCCCCTGTACAAGGCATCCAGGATCAGATGGCTGTTCTCGGCAGAGTCCTTGCTCAGGGACAGTTATCACAAGGTTCGTGCAAGCAACAGATGCTTTGGGGTGGCACGAGAACGGCTCGACGCTAAGTAGCTGCAGTTTCGCGACAGGGTGTACCTTGTGCGAGCCACCGAAGGCTTCCAATTGATGATCCCGTCGAGTTACGTGGCGGAACTAAAGAAGTATCCAGAAGACGTTCTGAGTGCGAGAGACGCAATCGCCGACGTATGTGGTCTCTCCCGCGCTTTTCAATCTGTACGACGTCAATGCTGACGAGATATAGGCGCTGCAAAGCAAATGGACAAAGTTCTGGCCTGGCCACAACGTTGACCTTTTGACATTTGTTGTGCGGACGCGGTTGACGCAGAACCTAGTCAAGCTGGCTCCCGTCCTGAAGAAGGAGCTAGACGACATCATCGCCACTGACTTTCCTGCCTGCGACGACTGGACTCCTGTGAAATGGCATCCGTTCGCGCTCCGAACCATCAGCCGACTCAGCGCCAGAGCTTTCGTCGGCCCTGAACTATGTCGCGACAAACGCTGGCTAGACACAACCGTGAATTTTGCTGTGCACGTCTTCATGGCCGGTGCCAAGCTGCAATTCTTCCCCGAATGGATGCGACCCCTGGCGCAGTACCTCGTGTCGGACATAGGCAAGATTCATCGCGACATACAGAATGCCAAGGATATGATTAGGCCGATCCTCGAACAGCGCGTGCGCGACCAGGACTCGACGGCATGCGAGGGCCCTCCAAATGATGTGCTGCAGTGGTTCATGGAAGGCATGGCCGAGGGCGAAAAAGCCGACTTGGCGGCGCATGTTGAGCTCCAGCTCGTCATTGCTGCGGCCTCCATCCATACGACAAACGGCGTCGTCTGCGAGTGCATGTACGATCTGGCCGCAGATGTGGCCCTTCAGGAGGAGCTGCGCGAGGAGGCTCGACAGGTTCTCGAGGAGGGCGACGGATGGCGTCACAAGGAGAGCATGGCGATGTTGAAGAAGTTGGACAGCTTCATGAGAGAGGTCCACAGGCTACACGGCAACATTGGTAAGCACAGCCTGGGTCTCGTCAGCTTTGACGATCTGGGAGCACAAACTAAGCAGGTTGGCAGTTTCCTTCGCCCGCAAGGTTAGGAAGCCCATAGCCCTCTCCGACGGCACCGAGCTGCCCGTGGGCACGCGCGTCATCACCCCTGCGGCCGGCATCGCCAGCGACGAGCGCTTCTTCCCCAACCCGGACATACTCGACGCCATGCGCTTCTACCGCCTGCGCCAAGAATCGGACGAGGCAAACAACCGGCTGCAGTTCACCTGCCTCGGAGATACGTACGTCAACTTCGGCGCCGGCAAGCACGCCTGCCCGGGGCGGTTCTTCGCCGGTAACGAGATCAAGCTCATCCTCGCGCGCTTCCTCCTCGCCTACGACATAAGGCTTCGGCCAGGAGAAAAGCGGCCGAGATCGTTTTGCGTGGTCATGACAAAGACGCCAAACCCAAACGTCGTGCTCGAGTTTAGGAGGCGAAGGCTCTGAAAGCGAGAGCGGTAAAAGCACGGAACTATGTATTTCATTGCAAATATCAGCGACATGGAAGGGAAATACAGCGATGGGAGTCGGAGGAACACCTGGCGCAATACAGAATGCGCTGTGGGGGTAGTCATACGAACGCTGCGGTTGGAACGCTCAAGCCATTCGTTGCACATCACGATGCTTAGAGAACTAGGAGTGCAAATGCGCGCCGCCTGACAAGACTGTCTTCGCGGTACCGATAAAGCCATGTCACATTAAGAGCCATCTGGGGGGCAGACGGCCAGACCCACCGAGTTCCGAAGCAAAGTGCCTTTGCCAGCTGGATTCATCACATTTCTGTCACGTTCAGTAGATATTAGCTCCTGCCACGTCTTTCCAGTTGGCCTTGGCGCCGTGAATTCTTCTTTATCTACACAATCCAGCCCTACCCATAACGCCGTCTCGCCCAGATAAAGCAGCCGTCCAGAGAAAAGCAACAAAAAGTGAACCAAAATGCATCAATGGCATACATGACGTGGACGAAAAAGCTCGGGACGCCCATGCGCTCTCAAGTTGCGGGGGGAATCAAGTGAGACCGATGATGAAATGGGAGTCCAGACGAGTGGCTCACTCCCAAATGATAGAAGTCGAGCGTTCCTCCTTACGAGCTGTAACGCTGGTACACGCCTGCGACCAAGCAGTGATCACGCTCGAAAGGCTCTGCAAGTTGGTTAGCAAATGCCGAACGTTAGGCGAAGAGTATGAAGAAGGCTTACCAAGCGTGAGCTGGAACTTGGGCTTGATGTGCTCGGCCCTCATCTTGTTGACCTCGTTGGCGAACACCTCGGCCGGGGGAGCGGTGGAGTCGATACAGTTGGCCTTGATGGAGATGAGCACGCCGCCGCCAGTCTTCAGGAACCAGTTGGCGTTCATGGCGACGATACGGGCCTGGTCGGGTTGCGCAACGTCGGCGAAGATGACATCGACCATGGGGACGATCATGCGGTAGCGGGCGGGCTGGCGGGCGTCCTCAACGATGGGAACAACATTCGTGCGCTTCGACGCCATGGCGATGAGATCACGGCCGGAACGGGAGGAGAACTCGACGGCGTAGACGTAGCCAGTAGGGCCGACCAGGTCGGAGACGTGAGAGACGGACGTGCCCGAGGCAGCACCCAGGTAGAGAACGCGCGAGCCAGGGCGCATGTAGATCTCGTCGGCACCACCGGCGATGGCAGCGCAAAGCTTGCTTCGGAAGGGGTTCCACATGCGGTACTCGACCTTGGTGGTCGTTGTCGTGCCGTCTTCGTTCTGGATGGTCTCATCGTGCTGGATTCGCTTCTCGCCGTAGACAGACTCGCTCGGGGCCATGTTGCGCGTAGCGATACCGTCCTCCTTGCCGCCGCGGACGACGAAGACACCGGGGTGACGGTGGGGCTCCTGCAAACCAACAATGTTAGACGTCGATCGAGTCGCGAGCAGATGGAGGCATCTCATGTCCTCGGGAGGCACATACCACAATGACCTTGGCACCGCCCTTCTGTCCAGGCTTGCCACCGCCGCGGGGACCACCACGGCCGCCACGACCACCTCCTCGCATGCCACCACCGCGCGGAGCACCGCGACCACCACCAAAGCCACCTGTGTTGCGCATGTCAGATCAAGATTCCATCGCAAGAGATATCCCCAGAAGTGGAGGAATCAAGTCGTACCTCGGCCACCGCCGCGGGCACCGCCACGGCCACCACGGTCACCAAAACCACCACGGCCGCCGCGACCGCCGCCGCGACCACCACGATCACCAAAGCCACCACGGCTACCACCTCGTGCGCCAAATGCCATTTTGTTGTGTTGTTCGGAGGAAGTTGATTGAAGAATAGATGAGCCTGCTTGTAGTCAAGCCGGGGCAGAAAATCGGAACCCTGCAGCAGACTTTGGGAGGGGTGCGGACTGCAAAGTCGAGAATGGCCTGCTGGCTCAGTAGATGTTCGCTCGGCAGCCTCTGAGACGAAAGAAATTTTTGAAGCTTTTTGCTGGTAGCTTTTCAGAGGCGGCCCCGCAGCGACGGCCATTATTGGTTGGCCGGGGGCGGCCAGGACCCTTGCCGGGTCCGACTTTTTTCCGAATTTTTGGACCTGGACCCCACCAGTCAATCAGCAGTCACGTGTAGATGCAGCCGCCGGTCAGGTGACATTGAAGTATACAGTCCCTGTGAATTTGCGTTGTAAATTCATCGCACAACTTCAAATTGGCAAGAAAATTCGCAAGGAAACTGCAAAGCCAAATGCTGCATTGAATCTGCATATTGATTGATCAAATACCATTTCCTCGTTGTTTCGTCCCGTTTTGGCGGCGTTTCGCAGTCCCGTCCTGGTGCCGTTCCCGATCGAGCAGGGCAGCCAAACCCTAACAATTCCCCGAACGGGTAAGCGAGCTTTGGCTCCCCCCAAGCCTTAGGGCAAAAGTTCAGAATTTCTCAACTCCAGCCCGCCGAACCCACGTCGTCGAATCAGTCACCACAGCAAAGCCGTCGAGATGGTGAGTTCAGCCCGCGAAGCAATATTGGAATTGGACGACGAGGTCGGCATGCGACATGATTGAGCAATTCATTTTGGGTGGTCATCGTGCCGTCGGCGTGGTGGCCCGCTTGAAATGAGGCGCTCCCTCAACGTCACGATGCACGGCGCCGGCGCGATGATTGAAAGCGAAGACAAGAAGACATCGATGGACTAACCAACTCTCTTCGCCCGAAAACCAGGTTCGATACGCCGCGACCGAGATCCAGCCCTCCAAGTCGGCCCGCGCCCGCGGTGCCTACCTGCGAGTCTCCTTCAAGAACACCCGCGAGACCGCCCAGGCCATCAACGGCTGGAAGCTGCAGCGCGCTGTTACCTTCCTCGAGAACGTCAAGGAGCACAAGGAGGCTGTCCCCATGCGACGATATGCCGGCAGCACCGGCCGCTGCGCCCAAGGTACGACCCGAAATTTCCAGCATCCTCCGACGGAGCCACCTCCCCAAGACGTTTCCCCCGGCGGACCGACTGGCAAAGAAGACGACGACGTGCTACTTCTGTGCTCGGAAAATTGCGAGGAAATTGATTGGGGGAGGACGGTTATGGATAGGAATTGGGACAAGTGCTGACAGATGTTCCGCCCTACAGGCAAGCAGTTTGGTGTCTCCAAGGCCCGGTGGCCCCTCAAGTCGGCCCAGTACCTTCTGGACCTCCTGAAGAACGCCGAGGCCAACGCCGACGCCAAGGGCCTCGACACCGGTGCCCTGGTCGTCAAGCACATCCAGGTCAACCAGGCCCCCAAGCAGCGCCGCCGCACTTACCGTGCCCACGGTCGCGTACGTTTTTGCCCTCTCTCTGCCCCGAGCGCGGACGACACCTCTCCGCGATTCGACCACGACGACGACACGCTGGCTGACACATATTCTACAGATCAACCCTTACATGTCGAACCCCTGCCACATCGAGCTGATCCTGACCGAGGGTGAGGAGGTTGTCCAGAAGTCCGACCAGGTTGTTGGCCGCGAGGAGCTCCGTCTCAACTCGAGACAGCGCGGTGCCCGCGTCCGCAAGGCCATCACTGCCGCATAAAGGAACAAGCGCGCAGGGGATTCGGGTCTTGGGGAAGCATAGGGGAAGTGGGGGGCAACTGTTTACTGAGTGGTTCGTGGCTTTTCATCTCCTGGTGTATGGCAGGCTACGGATGGAGCATGGCATTAAAAGGGAAAGATCGCATGCAAATTTCCTCTTTTTTCGCATGGGTTCTTGACGAAATAAACTCAAACGAAACACAGACGTCGGACTCGGGTGGCTACGTGAATGTGATGCGAACTGGTCAGCCTGCTCCGGGGGAGATTTTCCCCTCGAGGAACCGTCAACATTTACCCAGACGCAGGTAATGTGATTTCCCCGTGGGCACGCCTCAGTCTCTGCACCATCATGGGCAACGCAAAGTGTAATTCCACAGCACGAAAGACAAGATGTTGGACTCGGGAGTCTACGTGAACGTGACGCCAAATCGTCAGGCCGCGCCTGTTGAGTGTTCTTCAAGGGCGGAACAGTGCGCACATCAACTCAGACACGAGCAACGCGACTTCCCGGTGGGCTTATGCACAGTATCATGGGCACTGCAAAGTGCAATTCCGCACAGCACATAACGTCAGCATTTTGCTGTCGAGCAACGAGACATGATCTACTTCGTACAAGCTATCTTTGTATCTAACAAGCCAATCGGCAATGCACACTCATGAGCCCGCGGGGTATCGCCTTTGTCTTTCCAGTGCGCCAAAACTTCAACATCGTCCGCGAAAATCAAGCTAACCACCGTGCCATTTCGTCTCCGTCTACGCCAGGCCAAACGTCATCCACGCTTGGCCCACTCGATCGCCGAACACCCGCCATTGGTTTCCAACGTCAAGGTCCAGCGGTTCCGATCAGAACACCGCCCTCTGCAGCCGACAGCACAGTTTCTTCTCACGCAAAGGCGTCTGCAACGGTAAATCTCACTCAATGACGTTTCCGTCACCCTCGAGAATACCAGAGAAACGCCCAACACCGGGCCTTTCGATACCGTCCTTAACGGCATCCTGTATGATTCGTCCGTCGTAGATCCCCTGCCATCCAAAGGTCATACCGAAGCCGTAATGCAGATTGATGTAGTCCTGAGCAGGGAGGCGGGGAATAATGAGCCCCAGCAAAGTATCCGTACATCGCTGCATGTGATCGCTGGGATACATTGCCTCCTGAGCGTGAGGGTTGGGCAACAACTGGCGTCTTCTGGCCACCAGAGAACGCGTATCGATGTGCGGTTGGTCGATGGAGACATAACCGCACGACTTGAACGATATCGACCGCAGCTGATATCGCTCACCTGCTGGGCGATGTAGTGTATCTTGCCGCAGATAGGCCAGCAAACGATTGGGAAGCAGCTCCCCCACCTCACCCTCATCATCCGATGAGTCGGCATCCTCGCTTGGTCCCTGACTGATCTTGGCCCCAGGAGAGAAGTATTCGATGAGCCCGGACCACGAGAAAATTCCGGGTCCCGTTATGTCCAGAAGCACCTGAGAAGGCAACGGATTCGCACTTGTAAGGGGGTTTTGGGAGTCCGCCGGAGGGGGCACAGCGTGAGTGTTGAACATTGCATGGGACGGATTGGTAGAAGCAGGCTGCACCGGAGCAGCTTGGAACAAGCCGAGGTGAGGGAAGGTTCGAACGTGAAAGAGGTCCCAGGCGAGTGATGGCTGGGACGTCGTGGTTGGAGGCCCGCAAAGGGACACCGACTCAAACTCAAGCTTCTCCAAGGACGAGAGAGCGAACTGGCGTAGAGCTTGAATCATGACGTGGGGGGATGCCCAGCAATTTTTCAATGAGAGGTGTACGACGTGCGGGAGACGAAGGATGTCGTCCGCATGGATTCTGGGGCTGTTCAGTCTCGCCATGTTTTCCGGCTGCTGAAAGAAAGGCGCCGGTAGGATGTACTGATTGCGCTGGTATCGGCTCGGGCCAAATTCGCCGCCGCAGATCCATTCGAAGTGAAGGCTCTCAATGTTGGTTTGCCTTCCAATATGAGAGTTGAGCAGCTCGAAGACCTTGCCGACGGCGTCCGTGGGACTCAAAGATCTGCCCTGGGCAGAGCCATCCTCTGTTGCGCAAATCTCCCTCCAGTCGGCAATAACGCCCAGTGAGACGATCTTGAGCTGGGGCAGGCTCTGCCAGAGGTCGTCGCGGCATAGAATCTTGATGTGGCTGCTCGGAATCTTGGCGATGCTCAGAGTTGTGACGTTGTTGAGAACGCCCGTCCGGGCGTTGTCCATGAGCGCAATGACGTAGGACTGGATCATTGCACGGTGTGCCCAGTCCAACTCGAGAAGCATCTCCGTTTGGGCCACAGTGAGGGCGGCAGGGCTGAGGAATCGTGGCTCTCGGTCAGACACCCTCGACTCCAAGAATTGGTGCGTATCGTCATCGGTCAGGAGGAAATCAGGCTCGAGTTCTGGGGGCCGAGGAGCGGCAGGAATGCCGTCGAGATCGATCTGCTCGACAGTTGTATCTTCAGTGGCGGCCATGACGCGCATGGCCTCATCAACTTGGGCGGTGCCCGAGAAGCCGGCGGCCATCATCATCCTGGCCAGTGTCTCGTAGCGAAGGAAAGCTGCACCAGCCTGTGCATCAGGGCCCGCGGTGCGCCCAAGACTGTTAATAGCGACGATGAGGCGGGCCGGCATAGGGGATTGCAGCACCTTCCTACGGCGCCAGTCCTCGGTGCCAAAGACGCCGTGCGCAGCAAAAGCGCCTTTCGCGACGCGATCGGGGCCGAGGAGAAAGCCCAAGCCGGCGTCGCAACAGATTCCGAGGTTACGGACTTTGGAGAGACAGCTGATGGCCTCGGCCATGTCATGAGTCTCATCGGCGGCAAGCTCGATGCCCTCGAGATCGGGGTAACGGCAGTAATTCTCCTGAGGCCATCGATAGATGCCCCAAAAGGTGGGGATGGCCCGTTGCGTCAACTTGACGGGCGGCGCGGCGAGGGCGTCCTCGTTTACCTCCAGCGACAGCGCGAATCGAAGGACGTGGGGGCCAAAGGACCGGAAAATGCGCATGCCGCTGGAGAAGGCATTGTCGGGGCGCGAGTAGATCTCGGCCGTGAACGGGACGACGACATTGCGGAAGTAGCTGGCCGAGACCTTGGCTTCAAACTCTCTGCAAACAAGGCGCAGGGTCTTGACGTCGGAGCGAGGGAGGTGAGAGACAATGATGTCGAATATCTCTACTGGAATGTGTCCCATGGGCCAGTCGAAGCCGTGAACTGTGAGATAGGGTATTGTGAGCAAAGGCTAGCCAACGGGTCGATGACGTTTTATGTGGTTGGTTCGGGAGGGTGTGCTGCGATGCGGCCGCCAGGAACCGGAAGCAAGCGCGACGGGGGGATGCAGGTCGAAAACGGTCAATGAGAGGGGTGCATCGGTGAAGGAGGCTAGAATGTAGTGCGCCGGCACAAGGATGCCAGGAGACGGCATTTGAGGACGATGATGGCAAGGGGGGCAGGCTGTCAGTGACGATGGAGATGAACAAACAGATTCATGCGGGCAAGGCAGACGGGCTGTCCGGGTAGGAGGAGAGGCGGCTTGATGGCGTGTAAGGCAGGGAAGAAGGGTGTGGCGGGGGTCAAAACTCAGGCGGCACAGGCCTCAGACCGGTCCGCATCTGACGACTTCTTGACGGGACTTCTTGACTTTTGACTTACCGGAGGCGGGCGCTACGGGCTTTAGCGCCCCAGTGCCACGTTTCGGCCGCCGCTGCTTTCTCGACCCCATGTCAGTTCAGTCACCGCGTCTCGTCAGTGGGCAAGCACCGCGTCTCGCCAAGCACCGCCGGGGGCGCGTCGCTGGCGTCGTTGCTTGCGGCAGGCCAGGGAAACCGACGTTTTTTGCAATCGCAGCCCGGGCCAAGCAGACCATGTCACTGAAGCCGCGCGAGAAGCGATGGTCCGTCCCGCAGGTGTGGAAGCTCGGGCAGTCGGCAAAGTCGGAGCACGCGTGGGTGTGTGTGTTGTGTGTTGGTGAAGGATGCAGAACGGGAAACAGCTTGGCCGGCTCGCGAGGAGAAAGGTATAGGCAGCGACGTTGGCGACGTGCCCTGCCGAACAGCCCTGTGCCAGCTGCCTGGCACCTGCGGCCGCGTGCCGTGGGCGTGCGCGGGGCCCGTGCTGGCACCGGACGGGGACCGCGCCGGGGCAACGAGCGCCTGGCTGGTCACCTACTGGGCTGTCCACAGCTCGGGCACTGCCGCCCGTGTTCAACCTGAGGCCGCAGCTGGCTGGCTCCCGTCCGACGGATGACCGACTGACTCAGGCATCGACGACGTGGCAGCATGGAAGCAGCGCTCGCCAGCCCGAGCCACTCGTCCTCCACCGCCCTACGGAGGCCCGAGCTTGGCTGTGCCAGCGACAACTTGTATGGAACTTACAAGCAGTTCCAGGTTCCCATCCATCATCGCACGACCACCAAAGAACAACACGGCCAGCACAGCAAACGCGCAAAACACCCAATTGAATAAGGTACCAAAGTAGTACAAGTCGTGCAGATAGGTGGGTATGTACAGAGCCAGCATATACACGGTGTCCCTCGAGAGACCAGATGCTAGGTACGCAGCAAAGAATCGTCGGGCAACAACAAACCACCACCACATCCCGTCCCTTTCGGACGCAAACGCACGCGGCCCCCGATGCCTCATCCCTCCTAGCTGGTGCTGTTGCTCTTGCCTTGCCAGAACCAATATCTATGCGCCTCGTGTCAGAACAAGTGAATCGAAAGCAAGCAGAACTGGGGGGAGAAGACTAACACCGATGCGTACTGCACCTCAAACGTAGCCGGCATGCCCTTGCACGTCGCCGGCGCGCTGCCTCCGGCCGTGGTCACACGGAAGACCTCCTTGATGTCGTCCGTGGCGCCCTCCTTGGTCTTCAGTCGCAGCCACGGCACGGCCTTTTCGCCGATCTGTCCGACGCTGGCCGTTGACGGCGCGGCACCGGAGCTGTTCTTCTCGCAGGGCGCCTTGCCGATGTCGAGCGTCGGCGTGTCAAGATCGAAGAAGGCGGTCGTAGCGTCGGTGAAGTAGTGCACGCCCGACTTCTGCAGCACGCTCGGCCCCAGGCGGTCGTCGGTGAGGTTGAAGTGCACCGCCATGCTGGGGATCTTGTCCAGCACGTCCGGGTACAGCGCCGCCACGCAGCTGGCGTTGAAGAGCGTGGCCACGGCGCCCGCCGCCTTGGGCACCGCCGTGGCGTTGCCCGTGTCGCACGTGTAGTTTTGCGTGCCGCGGCCCACGGCGACGTGCCGCACGGTCAGGCCCGGAGCCGGTGGTAGGAGGCCATCGGGACCTGGGTTGCTCTCAAGTCAGCATATGCGTTTCTCATTCATTGCGAGTTGAACGCTCGTCAATGGTTTAGGTGTGCTCACCGAGGGGCATCTGCGCCTTGGACAGGTCACACGAGGGCGCCTCGGATAGGAGGCGGGCAGCCTGAACCTTGGCGGCTATGGCGTTGAAGTACGCCGACATGGAGTCGAGCGCGTTGACGGGATAAGGCACATCCTTGAGGTTGAGTCCTGGGAACGCCGGCGCGGCTTGCACCGTGGCGGCCAGCGCGGAGACCAAGACGGTCGAGAAATGCATAGTCCACGAAGGCTTCTTGCCGGGGAGAAGCTGAGAGCTGAGCGGGTGAGGTTGGAGAGGTGTATGCGTGTGTCTGTCTCTGTGTATGTGTACGTTCGGATTGGAGCAATGGCAGTCCGAAGCCCGATGCACCAGTGCGCGGCTTCTTTTCCCTTTGCTGCGTTGATAGACTCGGCACCCGGTGCTCGAACTGGTCTGTACTGGCGGTAGGTATATAAGGCGGGTATGTCCACAGCGACGATGACGAGCACAGAGGAAACAAGGAAATGCGAGACGACGACGAAGGAAAATAAGAAAAGGGAAAAAAAAAAAAAAAAAAAACACCCGGGAGCTCGGGAGCTGAGAAGGCGAAAAAAGAGACTCGATCTTGTTCTGTGTTCCCCGAGGCACGCGAGATGCAGAGGCGCCCGCCTCTATTATATCTGTCTCTTATACACATCTAGATGTGTATAAGAGACAGGGCCATGGCAGCGCGTGCATTCGGCAGCCACCCGCGCGTGCGTGCGTGCGGGTGGTGTGTGCCGCGGCGTCAACGGGCGCGCATGCATCCGCGATGCTCCTCCCTCCCGTCTCCGCCATTGGGCAGGCTTGCCCCAGGCTTGCCAGATGCCAGGGCAGTCCAGGCGGCTGGCCGCTGGTCTAAAACAAACAAAGCTTCCGGGGTGCTTCTTTTCTTGGGTCTGTGGTCTAGCCATCCGTCTTCCCATGCAGGCAGTTTGAGCCGCCGTGGGCCAATCGTTGGGGCCCCGGACGTGGGTGTTTGACCGTCCGGCGCGCGTCATTGGCTGCCGTCTAAGCGCCCGTGGTTTTGGTGTTGCGCTGCTTGGCGTCGCCGCTGCGCGAAGATGGAGCAGGATGAGGCGGATGAGGAGGGGACCTCCAAGGTCCCAGGACCCTGGCGGATCGTGCTCATCCGCAGGCGAGCGAACCACGGCCGAGGGCCAAGCCTGACGTCCTGGCCTGTCCGACAGGATTGATCTCAAATGCACCACCGTCAACGTTGCGTTGGAGATGTCAGTCTCAGCTGGCGAGCCTCCTCTTCGGCAGCGTCCACCCGGGGCGAGACATGCCTGTACCTTGTCTGTCGTACAGACAGACGGCACTTGGACCGTCCGTTTACAGGGTGCTCGGTCAATGCCACCGCCTGTAATCTCTAAAATGCGACCGAGGAGATGTACGTGTATCATGATTCATGAACACATCACTTGGCGGTGTCCCGTCTCCCGCCTTCTCCGTCGCGCAGCTTTCTCAATTGCTCCTCAGCTCGAGCCGGCGCCGCAGTGAATACCTACGTAGACATGTCCGTACGTACCCTTCATGCAGCCTTCCCACCACCATGTCGCGCGCTGCCGAGATGCACATCATCAGGGAAACGAAACTTGGGCTGCCTCGCCCCGCCCACACACGATACGACCAGCCTCGTCCTGCCTGTCCTGCAGCTCCATCCGCCGGCCGGCCACCCACCGGTTGGGCGCTTAGCCAAACGCGCATATGCCCAGAATAGCATCCCGTCCATTCCTCACCCACTGCCAATCTTCTAGACCAGGCGCGGGCTCGCCAAGGGCAAGGTAGTACGTACAAAGTACCTCGGCATACACGGCCACCCTGCCCCAGACCGTTGTCAGCCGCTGGTAGCTCTCTCTGGCTTGCACGTTGTCGCCATTTGAAGGCCTGGGCCGCCTCAACCGGCCGCCACCCTTTCATATGGCGCACTACCATTCACGACGACACCCCGAGCCATGGCGCCGTGATTGGGCCTCGAGATCGGGTCGCCAAAACTGGCCGGCGCTTTCTCGCAGAGGACAGAATAGACATCTCCGGCTCGACGCTCCACCATGCGTATCGATGCCGGCGCTCAGTCAATGAGGAGACGACGTGCTCACAGTTCATTTACAGCTCGATGTCTGCCCGTCCAAAATTGCCACCAGTTCCAGGGACTCGGCAAATGGCACCCAGGCGCCCTGAGAATTCGCCAAGCATTAGGTGTACATCAGACCTACGTTATACATAGTCATCCTTGCCCGTTCTAATAGACACGAGGGCTGGCCAAGCCGTGCAGCCGCGCGCCGCCAACCCTGCACAAACCGAGATATTCATAGACAGAGGCGCCCATCATCCTACTTCGTACACGTGCGCAGCGGCGCCGCTCACTGCCCGCTGAACCCGTCCTCTTTCCACTTGCCATGTGCGGCGCCGTCCTTCAGCGAGCCGCCGGCGCCACCTCCACCTCCTCCGCCACCTGCTGCCGCCGCCGCAGCAGCAGCGGCAGACCCAAAGTTGCTGCCGTGCTTTTCAAAGTCTGCGCTGCCAAGCCAATACAGAGAGAAGAAGACTATGAGATGGAGTGCCACACAATACGCCGCAAACAGGTTTCTGCTCGTGCGAGACGCCAGGACCATCCGCGTGATCGAGTATACAACCCTCTCCGGGAAGCTCATTCGCCGATAGGCCCTTGCCGACTCCCGGCCTCTGAATGCTGCGAACGGCGATATGTTGGACTCGTAAGCCTTTTGGTACCGATCGAGCGAGATCCCCGGGTTCCCGGTCCCGCCAATTGACACCGTCGAGGGGTTCGGATTCGACGCGTATGCTGATGAAGACGACGTCGTCGCCCCCCCTCGGCTGTACGTCGAGACGTACCGCGTCTTCTCGTAGAGGTTCAGGTTGTCCTTTTGAAGCGCCGCTACTTCCTGACGCAGCTGCTGTACCGTCCGGTGCGTATCTGACAGCTCCTGTTCCAGCTGTGCGTTCTTCTTCTTGAACCGGTCGCGCTGAGCCGTGACCATGGGTAAGATGCCAGAGCCGCCGCCCATGGGTTCTCGTTCGCCTGGCCCCGCCCGAGGATCGATACCACTGATGATGGACGATGTCGGCGAGATCCTTCCCCTGCGAGTCTGCGCTCGAGTCACGTACGTCCCTGCGACCGAGGCGCCAGATGGGAACGCGTTGGCGCCCTCAGCCTGCATGCTCTCGAGGTCGCTCTCCAGCTTCTCGTTGAGGTTCTGCGACTTTTCCAGCTCCGCGTTCGTCCGGGAAAGCTCTTCCTGGAGGTCCTCCAACCGGGACTGCAGGTCCTGATGCGATACACGGAGTATCGTGAGCTCGTCACCGAGCTTCTTGTTTCGTGACAGTAGCAGCCTTTCCAGGCTGTCACCCTTGGCGGCCCCGGCTTCCGACTCCACCTTGTCGCGGACGTCATCATCGTCTCCGGTTGAGAACTCGATGCTCTTGAGCACCTCGAGTTCTTGCTTCATGTCGTCGTAGTCGCTCCACTTCTGCACCTTTGTCTTGAGCGACTCCCGCTCTTCTTTGAGCAGCGTCACCTCCCGTTCCATCGTCCGGACACGAGAATCCAGGTCGCGCTTGAGGCCCTCTCGCTCCAGCCTTGCAGTGTCCAGCTTGCGGATCAACGAGGAGTTTTCCGACCGCATTCGCATATAGCCAGGGTCATCTTCGAGGGACTTCTCTGGCTGGGCCGACGCAGAGGACTTGGCCTGTGCCAGCTCCAGCCTCATTTGCTCGTTGCGTGCCTCTACCTCAGCCAGCCTAGACGAGGTACGCTCGAGGTCCGAATGAAGCATTTCCAGCTCTGCACTGGAGACCCGGCCACGCTGGGCGTCTTGATCCTCTCCATTCTTGCCGAGCCGCTGAGTGACTTCGTAGCTGGCACGCATCTCGTTCAGGAGGCGGTCTTGGTTCTCCAACTTGTCTTCCAAGCTCTTCTCTTTGGCCTCCCAGTTGTCCTTCCTCTCTTCCAGTACAGCTGTCCAGGAAGACTCGACTTCCTTCACACGAGACTCCAAGGTATCCTCCAGCTCTTTTCGCGCAGTCCGCTCTGACTGAAGCTTCGACTCAGTCTCTTCTAGTTGCGTCGTGAGCTTCGAGACGTTGCTCTGCAGGTGTTGGTTTTCCTCGGTGAGCTTCGGAAGCGTTTCCTCCGACACGAGCATGGAGTCGACCGAGGCTTCGAGGAGTGGGTAAGGATCAGGCACGTCGGACAAGGATGTGTACGCCTGGGAAAATGCCGAATTGACAGACTTCGAATGGTTTGTCAGATGATCGATGAATGTCTGGTAAGCTAGGGTTTAAGGCATCAGCATCCGCTCCAAGATGGGGGGCGGTCAGGTAGGTGAACCTTTAAGAAGGCCCTTGATCTCCACGAGCTTCGTCGAGTCGTCGAGCTTCTTGAAGTCCTTGGTCTTCTGCGCCAATTCCTTCCTCTGTACGGTCGAGTCTCGCTGGTATGCGACAATCTCCGACGCCGTGTTGTCGAGGTTGGCCGTCAGAGTCGTCAGGTCAAGATCTGTGTGCCGTGGTCAGCAACAAAGGCCTTTGGCCGGCCAGGACGCTCATTGACGACATACTCCTCCACGCCGAGATGGCGTGCTGAAACTTGTTGCCGCCGTCGAAACCACGGTCGGCCGTCGCGGCCTGGGCCGCCTGCGGCTGGTCCGTCATTGCGCCGAGGTCGAGATGGTCTGTCGCTTGCATGGCCATGACGATGGCATCGGAAGGCAGCGTCGTCGGTTGTGCCTCTCGAGACGGGCTGAGGGAATCGGCGAGGACTTTGCTAGGTTGTGACGCGCGACTCGACGCTGCAACGCTTGGGTCAACGTGTTCCCCAGGACGACGGCGCCGGCGCAGCTGAGTGGCAGTTCGACAGCTCGGCTGGCGCCACAGGGGCCGGTTTGAGGTTGGTGTCAATTGTGGTTACGTAGCGCTTCCCCCAGCAGGTGCCCCACCCACCTGTGCTCGGCTCACCTCAGGAACTCACCTCAGCCTCGCCCGTGACAGCTCCCTCCAGTCCATCAACGTCCGCCCCAAGACAAGGCGCATCGTCTACCTGAACCTGTCTCTGCCTTGCTTCCTCGGCACCACCTTTTTCTCACAGGCTGCTCCTGCTAGTGCCGCAGCCAGCAACCGTGCGAGAATGCCTCCTCGATGATGCCAGCGCCGCCATGACGACCCAGGAACCAGGCGGCAACGAGTCGCCGCGCCACGCTCCGAGCCCGCATCGCGAAGATGGGCCGTACGTGCTGCGTCCCCTGCTGGACAATGTTCCTCTGTCAGCGGACGGACCACAGGACGGCATAAAGATTAACTGTGTCGAATATTTTGGTTTGTTGCGCTCCGACCCCGCGACTGCCGCCGGTCAAGCTAACCGGCCGCTAGATGGCAACCTTTACGTCGGCACGTCTGCATCCGAGCTGCTTCACTTCGTCAAGATACCTCCCGACCCCTCGGACAGATCCGCGCGAGCCGTATTCATCCTTGCCTCGAGACTGTCGCCCCCCTACGTCGAAGCGCCAGGAGCTCTCCCCAACACTCGGCCCGGCATACAGCAGATCCTCCTCCTGCCCATGGTAGGCAAGGCCTGCATCCTGTGCAACTCCACTGCCACGTTCTACTCTCTCCCCGAGTTGAGTCCGGTGTCTGGCACCGGCCAGGTCAAGAACTGCAATTGGATAGGCGGTGTCGACTTGAACGAGGCCCCCACCGAGAGCGCGACTGAAGTGACGATACTCCTCTCCTTGAAACGGCGCATACAAGTCGTACGAGTCGGGGAAGGGATACAAGCCCTCAGAGTAAGCTTGCAAGGCATCTGTGATTTTTTATCACTTGCAGCCGCTAACATAACTTTCAGAACATCGATTACGCTGGCAGTGCGTTTACGCTCCGCCGCGACTCGATAGCATGCGTTGCCGATGCGAGGTCGTACGCGCTATTGGATGTTGAGAGGCGGCTGAAGATCCCGCTCATGAGTGTATCGTCGTTGGATGAGCCGCCACCCCCAGAGCAGGTCGGGCAAGTACAGTCTCTGTCTTCCGACACAACCGGGGGCATCGTTCGTAGCGCTTCTTCCGCCGAGAATCGCCCAACCTCTACCGCTCAAAGCCACAGTCGTAGTGTGAGCTTGGGAGCGTCCATAACAGGTCAGTCCCGCCTGCAGGAGCCGGGACAGGCACGCAGTCAGGACGGCGAACCACAGCAGTTATCGCCTCCTGCTCCCTCATCAAGCCCACATCCACCAACCGAACCTAGCGATGCTCCTCCTCAAACCGACAAGCCTCTACCGGCCGCGCCGCCCGATGCCGCATCTGCAAGTCATGTGTTGGAGCGACCGGCAACGCCGCAGCCTCCCGTGCTGCTTACACCGCATATAGCGTCCCCAACTCCCGACGAGTTCCTTCTCGTGATTGGAACCAGTCCATCAGATCCTGGTATCGGCATGTTTGTCAGTCTAGATGGGGATACAACTCGATCAACTCTTGAGTTCGAGCAATACCCGCGGCAAATCGCGGTTGACGGCAAGCAGGCGGACCTAGTCTCATCCCGCTCCGGCTACGGCGAAGAAGAAGAAGGCTACGTGCTGGCTTCGATGACGAAAAAATCCACAGATGACGCTGGCGCTATCCACGGTCTGGAGATTCAGCGCTGGGATGCTGGCGAGGAGGCGAATCCAGAGAGACACTGGCTAGTGCCCCATGACTTCAAGGATCCCAATCCATATGGGATACGCTCCTTGGTAGGTCACGACGAGATCCACTTTGAAGAGATCGTGGAGAAGCTGAGCCTCACGCGATTTTCACCGTTTCCGGGCCCTATCGAGGCATCTACAACATCGCTTAAGAGCTCAGATTCCCGGACAGCACTATCTATCGAACGATTGTCCAAGGAGCGGGAGCTGTTTGAACGCGATGACTCTCAAGATGAAGAGTCACTCCCGGACGGTTGGGAGGCTGCACGGAAGTCGGAAGGAGAAGAGTTCACGCGCCGGCTAGCCAAGGCGGAGGTCAAGCTGGCAGTGTGGTGCCGCGAGCAGATATGGTGGGCCGCCCGGAACCCGCTGATCGTCCAACTCGACTCCGTCCTTGATGCCTCGTGCCCATATGGTTGCACAGACCCGAGAGGCATAGACCGCCATGCTATCTTCACCATGCTCGGCTCAATCCGCGGGCGAGATGCCCGAACCGAGCTTGAGTTCTTGACGCTTGGCTACCTACGACAGAAGGCTGGCCTTTTACTGCTCATCAGTCTCTTGACTTCGTCCGAGTCGGAGCGATTGTCAGATGGCGAGATGAGTGCCCTCGAGGAGGTTCTGGTGGACAGCAAACTCGACCCAAGAGTTGTTCTGTCCTTGATACCTGGCGTTCGCAATGAAATCGTCGAGGGCCGCCGTGGCACGTGGATTTATGGCGGCGTTCGAACCGTGGCAGAAGCATTCCTGCGAAATACATCTTTTGACGAAATCGCCAAAGGAGGCATCAGCAGCGTGTCGTTGAGAGTGATGAACTTCTTGCGGCGCTTCCTGTCTGCTTGGAGGAAAATGAAGGGCTTTGGTAGCGTCCCGGACGAACACGACGTGTTTCGGACCGTCGATGCTGCCCTTCTGACGGTGCTCCTCGAGCTGGACCAGCCTTCGCGGCGAGGCGCTACAAGCGGCTCTACCGTTCGAGCCGAGCTAAATGACCTCGTCGACAAGGGCGTCGACTGCTTCGATCGAGCCGTCGACCTCCTCGAATCGTATCACAGACTCTTTGTCCTCAGCCGGCTGTATCAGAGCCGAAAGCGGTCGAGCGACGTGCTGGCCACCTGGAGGAGGATCGTGGAAGGAGAGAGAGACGACGGCCAGGAACTGGTCGATGGTGAGAGGAGAGTCCGGGACTACCTCAGAAAGATTAGCAGCCAGAGCCTGGTTCAGGAGTATGGCATATGGCTCGCACGGCGCAACCCGAGGTTGGGTGTCCAGGTGTTCGCAGAGGACGGCGCGAGGGCTCCCAAGTTTGAGCCGAGTCGGGCAGTCGAGATCCTCCGGCAAGAGGCACCAGACGCCGTCAAATACTACCTGGAGCATCTCGTCTTCGGCAAGGGGCACACGGCGTACGTGAACGAGCTGATCACGTACTATCTCGATGTGGTCTTGGGCGATCTTGAGTCATCGGCTGCGAGCAGAGAAGCCGTCATGTCGGCGTACGATTCATACCGCGCGCTGCAAGCGCCAAAGCCGACGTACCATCACTTCCTGAGAGAAAACGCGCCCGAAAACGACGAAGTCTGGCAGAGTCGCCTGCGGCTTCTTCAGCTCCTCGGCGGGGCGCACGAGTACGACTCCGCAGCCATCAAAGCCCGCATCACGAGCTTGCCGGGCGACCTTCTGGTGCCGGAGACAATCATCCTGGCGGGCCGCGAACGACATCACGAGGACGCGATCCGACTGCTGGTGCATCGGTTGGGCGACTACGACACGGCCGTCGCGTACTGTCTCCGCGGCGGCACCAGCGTCTATGTCCCGCCGGAGAACCGGCGGCGTGGAGACAGCCTGCCGGAGCTGGAGCAGCAAGAACGCCTGTTCCAAGTTGTCCTGCGCGAGTTCCTCACCATCGACAACATGGGTGATCGTGTCGAACAGACGAGTTCCCTGCTGGAGCGATTCGGCGGCTGGTTCGATGTAGTGGAGGTCCTGCAGCTCGTCCCGGACAGCTGGTCCGTCGAAGTAGTCGCCGGCTTCTTGGTCGGCGCGATGAGGCGGCTGGTGCGCGAGAAGCACGAGAGCATGATGACTCGCGCGCTCAGCGGGGCCGAGAACGTGCGCGTCAACTACGACGTGGTAGTTGGAATGGAGGAGAAGGGGCCCACGATAGAGGCGGCCAACTGATGACGCCAAGGGGGGCAGACAATGTTTAAGCACAGCGATACGAAATGTAGTATTGCCATTTGCATAGAATCGCCATTAAGCAAGCAAGCAAGCATTCGCGCACCGCCCGCCTGCTGTATGTTTCGTCTAGATATGACAATGCCAACTATACGTCTAGTGATAGGTCGATTGGCTTGGTTATACTTTTCATCCACATTCAGCCAAGTGACCTTTGGGTCCTCTTGGCCCGGCGGCTCGCGGCGGCATGGATGATGCATGTAAATCGTATGAAACCTTTTTCAGATCTACGTATCAGCCAGCGCGGCGGACATCCAGACCAGGTACTGCCTGTCAACCAGGATGGATGCTCGCCCCAAACAAAACCGAGACGAGGGGAAACAACGCATGGCCACACAAACCGGTTCTCCTCGTTCCCGTCCCCCATCGTCTGCGAGGTCAACGGCGGAAAGACGCGCTCTTGGCGGAGCTCGGTTGCTTGCCGGGAACGTGGGCAGGTTTGAGTTTCGCATTGACGGAGAGAGGTGTTGAGCGCGTGGGCGGATGGACTCCGCCTTCGGCGGCCTCTTTGGAAGTACTATGTCGTTCAAGGGGAGTTGAGGAAATACGGTCACCGGCTGCATGATGAGCACAAGGACCTCCGTGCTCGGAAGACGGAAACGAGTGAGGGTATTGGTCGGTGTAGTTGTTTCCAGCTCGACCAAGGGTTCCCATGTCGACCTCTCACCGCAGCATTCATCCATCTATCCATGCTATACTCTTTCCGTGCTCCCGATCCCTCCCTGCAGGATGCTCCATCCAGGTCTTCAGGTCGTGTCCTTGCGCTTCAGCACCGCGATAACAAGCCACCTCTTGCGCACCGTGACGTCGTCCTCGCGGTCCCACGACCACTCCCGCTCCCGCCCGTCGCAGTCCCTCTCCCAGATGCGTTCGACCTCGAGCCCCGCCCGCGCCAGCGCCGCGTCCTCGAAGAAGCCGCGCATCTTCTCGCGCCCCGTGTGGAACCCAGCGACGACCCAGCACCGTGCCGCCGCCGCCGCCGCCGCCGCCGCCGAGGACCCATCATCGTCGTCGTTGTCGTTGTTGCCCCCGCCGGGCCGCCGTCGCAGAAAGTGGTCGATGGATCGGTGGAGGTTCTCGTGCTGCCACGGCATCCACAGACAGTCGGCGACAAAGACCCGGTCGAAGGCGTGCCGGTTCGCCGCGAGGAACGCGTCGTCGGCGGGCAGTTCTCCCCACGAGTGGCCCGTGACCAGCACCTTCGCCGGTGGCGTCACGGCCTGCTCGCCACCCGTCGGCGCCAGCGACGGCTGGATGTTGCGCGCAATGTTCTCGCGCAGCGTCTGGATGACCGTCGGCGCCGGGTAGTCGGTGACGACGACGCGCTCCGCGCCCAGCAGGCCCGCCATCATGCTCGGCAGCGCCGTGCCGGCACCCAGCTCCACGATAGCCTTGCCGCGGACGTCGAAGCTCACGCCCTCGCCGAGTCCCACACCCGCCTCATCGCCCCCGTCACCTTGGTCCGCGTCCGGCACTCCCAGCGTGTCCCTCTCCACCAGCTCGGCCAGCAACAGGCTCGCGTTCCACAGGTAATGACTGAACAGCCGGCGGTCCGTCTCGCCCTCCGGGTCGGCCAGGTCCAGGAGCAGTGGCTGCGGCAGGTGCGGCGACGCGTACACCAGGCTGTGCTCCGCGTCGCCGTGCTGGTTGGTCACATCATCGGGGAAGATGACGCCCAGCGACGTGGACAGGTAGTCCTCCGGGCCCGAAGGCTCGCTGCCCTTGAGGGAGATGCGCGACGTGAGCGCCATGGGCCCCTGTTTGGTAAGTCGACGCCGCGCAGGCGGCAAGGGCTCTGACGAGCGAGTGTTCTATAGCGCGACAGCTTGTTTGAGAGAAGCAGGGCTGGCGAGAGCCACGGTGGTGTTGTATCGTCAGAGGCGCGCGTCTCACGAGATGCTGAAGGGGGCGCAGGAGAAGTCAGCTTCATGCAACATGGGGAGCGGCCGTCTTCAAGCGTTGCAAGTCACGAGCGTCAATAGCCGGATCCTTTACAAAGATGCCAGTAGAGTATTGCCACAATATTTCTTGACCGTCGTGGACTCGTGGGGCTTGGATTTGAACCGAGTGAGGCAGAGGGCTGCCGTGTATGGTGGGGGAAGTGGCACGGCCAGGCAGGCCCAAAATTTGATGCTGGCGACCCGCCCTCCCGAATTGGCCAGCCACGGTCCTGCCTTCGAAGCCTCAACACAATCCAACGTTCAACCTCGCCTGGAGCCTGGGACAAAACACTGCAGGAATCGCATCTCACTGAGCATCAGCATCCTTTTTGAGAGTCTGACAAGGGAGATGAGCATCCGCCCCCTTTTTGGAATTAAGAAGTATCCAGCTGATATTACAGTCGAATCGACGCCGACTGTCAATCAATGCGACCCTACTCGCAGTGAAACCTCAGGGTATCAAGTACATCAGCTCACTCCCGGCAAAGAGAGGAGTCCCTAGTTGGCATGGCCCATCCAAGTCGTCAAACAAACCCGGCAAGAGCAGAAACAACAAGAAAGAAAAAAAGGCCAAACAGCCCTAGCCCCAAACACCGTCCCTGCCGTCAACCTTGAAACCGTTGGATATCCCGTAGTCCTCCGTGCGCCGTCCGCCATGCTTCCATCTAAGTGGTCAAGTGGTATTCTTCCCATGAAGCCCACACTCCCAGTCTCGTTTTTCGCGGGAAGGTAGGATGATTGTTGATCCTGTACATGTGTCATTAGATGGAGGCAGTGTTGGTCTCCAGCATCTCCTTCATCTCCTTGAGCTGCTCCTCGGTCGGGTCATCCGAGATCCACGGGCCCTTCTCGTCGTCCGTGGCACCAAGGAAGCCCTCGGCGCGCTTCAGCGTCTGCACGTCTAGGTCCGTCACGTATGACTTGCCATCCGACAGCTTGATGCGCACCTCGTGGTCCGTGGAGAGCATCATGTCGTCCTTGGCCAGGCGGCGGGGACCGTCAAACACAGCCATGATGCGCTTCTTCATGTTCATCTGGCCCTTGTCAAATCCCCAAGACGACGGGTAGTCGCGGCGGTTCTTGCGACCGCGAGCCTTGGTGGCCAGCGGGACGCCACCACGCGAGTGCGTCATGCCACGCGACTTCTGGACACCGTTGGGGGGATTCGCCTTCTTCTTCGCCGAGGGGGACGAGTTGGCTCTTGACGTCGTCTCATCAGCGTCGTTCTCGTCCTCCATGTCGTCGTCTTCGTCGTCATCTTCCGTCTGGACCGTCTGCGTGGTTGTGGGCAGGTTGTTCTTCTCCAGCGTCTGGTGGACGCTCTTGTCGTTCTCAACCTCGGCCAGGCGCTGGGCGTTGATGGCCTCTGCCGGGTCCTCCTGCTGCACGATGCGCAGCACACAGTCGTCCAGATGCTCGTAGAAGTCCTGGGCGTTGGAGAAGGTCTGAGAGCATGTGCTGCACTTGCCCGTAGCATCTGGAGCATAGCCCGTGAGCTTCTTGCCAGCACTGACGCCAGTCGGGGTCTTCTTGCGGCTGTTGGGAGGCGTCTGCTCAACGCCATGGACCGCGGTCAGGTGCCTCTTGAAGACGTCGGCCCTGTTGAACGACTTCTCCGCCGGCGATCCAGATCCAGGGCAAAAGCCGCACACCATGGTGCCCTTATAGTGCGTCAAGGTGTGACGGTTCTTGTCATACTTGCGAGCAAAGCCTTTGACGTGATACTCGCAGGTCTGGATGGGGCACTTCTCGGGGCGCTCATTCTGATGCGTGAGCATGTGCGCCTTTAGATCCTTGAAGACCTTGCCGCAGTCGGGATAAGTGCAGCGCTGCTTCTCCTTGGTCTCGTCGCTGCTGTGGTACTCGGCGGAGCCGGGCGAAATGAAGCTGCCAGGCATGCTGACGCGACGGCCCGTGTCCATGGGCGCTCCATAAGGGCTGCCGGCGTAGGCGGCCTGGAAGGGCCCGTTGTGAAGGTAGGGAGAAGAGCTGTTGGTGCGGAGGAGGTTGGGCTGAGGCGATGAGGAGACGGAAGGCGAGGGAACGAAAGGATTGGGAGGCTGCTGGAAGTGGCCGTCATAAGGCGAGATGGCCATGGGCGGACGCGCGATCTCGGGATGGATCAACGACGGGTCTGAGCCGAGAGGGAAAGAGTCAGCAAGCATGATTGGCCACGGGCGTCACCGAAAGCGACAACGAGGTTGGCTGCGGCGGCGGCGGCGAGGGTCTAGAAACGCATCGCAGCACGCAGGCAGGCAGAAGGGAAGGGGGTGAGCGCGGGCCCCAGCTGGCGATGACGACACAAAATAGGTGAAGGTGCTGGTGATGATGAGGTGTGTGTGGGAGAGTGGGAAGACGGCAGGCAGCCCAGAGGCTTGCACTGCCCGCCCGCCCGTCGGCAGTGGAGTGGGTGGGTGAGGGATGCGTGGGCAGGTGGGTGTGGGTGGACGGCTGCCTCCCCAGCAGGCATCGGAACCTTGGAAGCCTGGGAGGCCCTGCGAGGCCCGGGCAGCCCACCGCTTGGCGGAGCGGAATCGGCCTTCAGTGGCTGCGCTGCGCTGCACTGCACTGCAGGTCTGCGCATGCTTCCATCTCCGTGGGCGGGGGTCGCAGTTGAGCCAGCGGACCGCCGCGTTGCCGCTCAGGCACCACATCACTGACGACCGCGCCGCCCGGAGCGGGTACCACTTCCCAAAATGTCTCAGGCGCAGCGTCCGTAGCCAGCTGAGCAGCGGAGCCCTCCTGCAGGGCCGCCCACTGAGAGGCCGTCGAGGCCGTGAGACCCCAATGTGAAAACTGACAAGGCGAGCCCGAATGGGATCGCGCGGAGGCACCGAGGTCGATGGCAATGAACGACGAGGGCAAAAGGAACCATCAGGATCTTTTTGAAGTCGGGCCAGGGCCAGGCACAGGGTAAAAGATGTGAGGCAGGGGTCGGGTGGTGCTGCAATTCGTGCGGCCATGCCGGCCAACACTCAGGCACCGGAAACCTCCAGTTGGGCGTTGCACTTGCAACGGCCTGCAACGGCTGGGGCGTCGCAAAAAAACAAACGGCCCCAACAGCTGGTAGCGCGATGCCCCCCGAAAGGTTATCTGGAGCCCGGTGCTGTGGGAACGGTGGAGGTGGCCAAACGGCGCGAGGCGCCTGGAAAGCAGAGACTCAAAAAAGGGAGTGTGCACTCACCAACGAATGTCTTCGTCTGCGCGGCGCCAAAGTCGAAGGCGCCCAGATCTTCTATGCCTGCGCCGGGGAAGTACTCGGCGCCGCTCATGTAGTCGTTGCCAACGATGCTCGGCTGCACAGCCATGCCCTGTGCGTTCCAGTCGGCGACGCCGCCGAGTTGGCCGTGGTTGGACTGCGGCGAGCCGATGGCCGATGAGGGTGCTGACGGCGCAGAAGCCGAGGAAAGGCTCGAGGACGGCAATCGCATGTCACTGTCGTCGTGATACGATCCCGGAGAAGCGCGACCGTTGAGGATGTAGTTTGGCGTGTCGGCGTAGAGCGAGGCTTCGAAGCCCATGGGGGTCGCCGCCGGATAGGCGTCCTGGCCTGAGCGTGGGAAGCCGGCGCCAAAGGCGGCATCGGCAGTGAGGCCCATGTCCATCGGGGGAGACGTGAAGGCGTGCTGAGGAGGCTCGGGGTAGCTTTGTTGTTGATGCTGGAACATGTGGAAGGGTTGCTCGGCCATGGCGGCCATGGTGCGTCTCATTCAAGAGGATTCTCTGTCGGACATCGTCAGCGGTCGTGGCCCTCGAGTGTGGGCGGGCGCCACGTTATTTGAACCAGCTGCTCACCCTTCGAGATTGTGCTTTTTTCCCACGTTCAAATGTGTCACGGTAATGGTGTCTCACGGGGCCGCCGAGGAACTGTGGCGGGGCCTCGGGAGAGCTGCGTGCAGGGGAGGGTCGAGGTCGCGACTATGACGTGCCCGAACAGTGTCTCTTTCCGCGCTACCTCCCTCTGTCGTTCCGAAGATGTTGGCCAAGCGGGAAACTGGTGCTTTTTCCCTCCTCACTGATGGTGATCAGGCCGAGTGTTTTGCCGTCGGCGGGTTCGCGAGCGGGCCAGGTGGCGCGGGACCGGTAGGCGAGGAGTGCAGCACAGCAACTATGTGCAGTGTTTATTCCCACCCGAGCTGGCGTGGAATGGATTGTGAGCTGCCAACGAGTGAGGCTGTCGAAGAGTTGCAACGTCAAGCGAGGCAGCAGAGCTTTGTCGATGAGAGGCTTGTGTGTCCGTCCGAAGCCTTGGGATGTTGGGGGCCCCACGAAGTAGATATAGGCAGCGTGCATCTGAGTTGCCAGAGGACTGGGCCCAGTTGGACGGGATCGACCTCAAGGAGGGAGTCAAACGATGCCAGGCTAATGGTTTACTCTCGTAGGGCAGAGAAGGGGGGAGTGCCAGCCTCATCCGGGGGGGCGGTTCCCAAGGACAAGGGGAGGGGTGTGAGAAGGCGCACGGCGCGAGATCCTGTGGTGGGAAGAAAAAGACGGCATCCAACAGTGGGCTAATTCAGGACTCGAGAGAGCCCTGCGCTTGCGCATCCCGGCGGGGAGAGGGAGGGGGGCCAGGGAGGGGGTGCAGAGGCGCCCGGGCGGGCGTGAAGATGAGTTGGTGTGGATTGGAGGGGGGGTGGCCCAGGAGGCGTGTAGGTTCCGTGAAGAAGGTTGATGATAAAGGCGGGGGGGGGTCTGGCCTCTGGGCTCTGGGCTCTGGCTCTCGCTCTCGCTGGGCCCCGTGTGGTGGGCGCAGAGGAGGAGATCGTCTTGTCCGGCTGGCAGAGGGAAATGGTAAGCCTGCAGGCGGTAGGCCCAAGTAGCGGTACGCGGGAGGGGAAGGCCCCCAGCCCAGGTTGGAGGGGCGGGCTCAGCAGGCTCAGTGGGCGCAAGGTTGCCGCCGGCGAGTCCAGACCGTCTCGCAGGCGGTCGACGCCCCCAGCCTTCAGAGGGATAAGGGAGGGGGAGGGAGGGGACGCGAGTACCCCTACAAGGACGAGGTACCGACCCGAGAAACGAGCAGCCCGGGCCAGCCCACCCAGGTCCATCGCAGCCCGCAGGGTGCTGGCCAACGCGCCGGCAGCAGCAAGCACGGCCCAGGCGAAGGGCGATGCGCGGCGACCTTCAGGGGGTCCCCGGCATGACACAAGAGCTCCACTGCCACCACAGAACGACACAGGGCAGAGGCAGAGTACGTACCGAGCCTGGGTATCGGACGAGCTAGTCCCAAAGGGGACAGGTCGTCTGCCGACAGCCAGCGAACCTCTCGAGGGCTTCACACTCTGCTGCGGGCCGTGGGCATTGGCTCGAAGGCGGACGTGTGTCGCATTTCAAGAGTCAACAGCCAGTGGCTTCCCTCCCTCCCTCCCTCTCTGCCACCCCCCACAAACCGGTCGAGGCAGAAGGCATGGCGAGTGGCATGGCATTGGCATGTCATGGCGCGGCCGTTATGGACGTACCGCGCATACATTACTAGAGTCCTGCACACACAGCGCGGCAGGTCTGAGACACACATGACCCGCGGACTGGCGTGTCTCTGGATCATAAATTGCTTTTTTTTCGCACATGCTGCTCCAATGCTCCCAATCCGCCTGGGGACCCTGCTGGTGCTGCTCCCGCTCGCCCCGCGCGGTGCCAAAGAAAGGGGACCGTCTATAGATAGGTGGAACATGGGGGACGGGGCAGCAGCCCGTCAACGTAGAGCGGTGGAATGAGTCGTCAGGCATGTCTCGACTGGCATGCGAGCGAAAGTCACCCGCTTGGCGCCAAAGCCGCGGCGGGATGGATGGCGCCTCTCCGCTCACAAGGCCAGAGCAGCGTCTCGTCATGGACGCAAGAAGCGTCTGCAGCCCGAGGCAGGGAGGCCTGGTGAGGAACGAGCTTCAAAGCATATCCTCGTAATATGCGAGGCGAGGCACGCAACCAGTCAGCCATACAGACAGACCGAGAGAGAGACAGACAGGTGGCGAGGCAGGCTCGACGCCCCTCCCCTGCCCCCCATCTCCGTTCGGTGATGTGAGATGCCCTCTCACTGAGATTGAACGGCGATGTCCCACTGACCAGGTCGCCAGTGGCTGCAGGCTTCCAATCCGTTCAGAGGCCCGCCTGGGTGGGCGAACGCATCTCATCGTTACCTTACAGGGCCCACTGCCACCAGCACCTCACAGAGCCCACTGGCCGCGCAGGGATCCCTTGGACGGATTCCTACGGCTCCGAGGCGGCGACGGATCGCCCGCTGGCCACGGCACCATCTGGCACCCACTCGCCCACTGTAACCCGCTGGCCGCCCGTCGACATGTCAGAAAAGAAGAAGAAAAAAAGGGCTTGTCCTACGTCGCACGGGCGGCCGTCACAGCGGAACTCACTCTCTGGCGGCTGCCTCGATTCGCCCTCTCCGGCGTCGCATCCTCCTGCCTCACCTGCGAGTTGCGACACAGGCCTCGAGAGTGTGTGCGAGTGCTTTGCCGACACCAGTGCGCTGGCGGAAGCTTGCCTTGGAAAGTCACCACGGGCGAAGAACCGCGTTGCCGCGCCGTCGTCGCTCCGATCACGACTCTTGACCTCGACCCGCTTGCGTCCTCATGTCGCAGCGGGCCTGTTCGGCACCGGGTTGGGTTGCGCACATCCCTCGTTGTCCGCGACATTGCTGTACTTCGAGCAGGTACTGCAATTACAGCGGAGGTTGCGCCCCATGCGGAACCGTCTGCCCCGCGCCTGTGACGCCTTGCCTGGGCTGCCGGTGCTCCCCGAGTCTGAGCCGCCGGAAGCCTTTGCCGACCGCACCGCGGAATACACACTGCCAGTGATCGATCCCAAGCTCTCACCCAATTCGAGGTGTCACTGGTGTCAGTTCGCAAGGTACCTTGCTTTCCGTCCGATCCTTGGCGCAGAACAACGCCAGAGTAAATCGACGGGCCGCTCTCACCAGCACCCGGCAGCGGGCAAGGTGTCATGCACCGGGATCTCGGTGCTGCTGCGCATCGTCATCTGGTCGTGTCTCTTTGTTGCATCTTAACCCCCAATAGGCTTCGTTCACCATGACACAAGTCGCCTACCAGCTCCGACGGATGCGCGCACAGCCGGGGGGCCAGGGCAACCAGCGAACCACCCTCCCCGGCGTCGTTGCCTTGTCATCACGGTCCCCAGGTTCCCGTGTTCAACCGCCTCGCGCCAGATCGCCTGGCGAACTGCCTGTGCATGCAACTCCCGTCTCCACCAGCAAGTTGAATCGTGTGTCTAGAATCTGCTCCGCGCCAGGGCGTGCCATCTCCCGCTCCGTGTGCTGCGGCTTTCGTCGTTCATCGTCATCGTATACTGCGTTGTTCGGGCGCAGTGTCACACAGAGCCGACAGTGCTCCTTGCATGCGCGCGTCTGCGGTCCGTCACTGGCAGGCAAGGCAAAGCGTCATCAACCAACAGCCGAATCTGGGTCCCTGCGGGACCGCCTCCCCAGTGTCTGCCTGCCGGGCGCCATGGGCAAGGCAACGGCTTGCCCCGAGCACACCCTGGACATGGCAGAGTTTCCGCTACCCCGGCTTCCAGGTTGACTGTGCTCGAGGGGGTATAATCGCGTGCTGCAACACACGGTTGCCGCCGCGGAAGTACAACGTCCTCATCTCTCAGAGCGAAACGAAGACACGGTTGACCGCGGGCACGGCACGCGCTTTGCAACGCCAACGGCCAAACCGCCATACGCCATGAACCATCTCCATCCAGCGAGCCAATACTCCTCGACGAGCCCGACTTTGTGACTCGTCCGCGTACGAGCCCAAGGTTCCAAGTATGCAGTTAACCTAGCAGGCGCGATTCTCGTACGTCCAGGGCACTCCGATGGAACACGCCGAGACCACGCCAGGTCGCCTGCCCAGCCAAAACTCTCGCTTACCGTTGCCCACGTTAGTTAGCCTCGCCGGTGGAGGTTGATTAACTTTGATCTGTAGCGGGGAGCTTGGCAGCAAGCAAGTACACCTCGCCCCCTTTTACCGCCACCCGTGGATGAAATGTGCCGCTGGGACCCCGCATGGGTGCTGGGGTCAGTGGTTGGCTGGCCGCAATTGGGGCTTGATAGGCGCGGGCACACGCCTTTACCAGGAAACCCCGGCAGAGTCTTTTGTCGGTGCAGCAGGGAGGAAAGGCACATCGATGCGGCTCTGCGGCCACGGCATTCTCACCTGCGCGCCGGGAGGATTTTTCTGTTCCAACACCAGTCCCGCGCTGGTCGACACCTCCTGGCGGTGTGATTTCCAGGCCAGAGGTGATACTGTCCGGGAGCAGACGGATCTGCCCGTCGCCAAATCCTCAGTTTGGGTGTAACACGGGGATCTCTCGCCCTGCACAGGGTAATGCCCACTAGACCGGCACAACGGGCAAAAAGGGTCTTGGCGTTGGTGAGGTGCCACCTTTGGATTCACCCGTGAGGAAGGAGGCAAACGTTTTTGCTGTTGTCGTAACATCTGCCTCTGGAGCCGTGCACGACTGTTTCAACCGCTCGCTGGGCAGAGGCGTACTCAGCCAATGGAGAGAGCCCCAACTGAACGTCACAGGTGGGCGGCGTGGCGTTCTGCTCTGTCTGCCCTCTTGTGAGCCCCGCACGAACCTGAGCGCTGCAGAGACAGGATCGCCGGGACACACGAGGCCATGCTGGACAGCAGGACTTCTTGCACCGAGCCTTGTTTGAAAGGGCGAGACACGCCCATGGCAC